TATTGATCAACCAAACTGAACATACATGTACATGTATTCGAATGTGTTAAGTGTTCCTGTGCACTCAGAGAGTGGATGAAGCAACTCTGGAACTGTTATGTTTCAGGATGGTTGTCTGGTGTACACTAAAACTTCCACTGTTTATTAGGACTTGAAGGTGTTTTCCCAGCATGCACTGGGCATGAGATATATCCAGGATTTTCTCCTTCAGGTGTAGTTCTTCAAGTGAGCTTTTTTTCTTTTCTTTTTAAAAATATTGCCATTCTCTTATGTAAATATTTCTCCCGCATTGTGCTTGGGGTTGTCCACATTCTTGGAGTAGTTCTGTTTCTGCATTTGGGAGTAATTACACTCAGTGTTGTTTCTTTTTTCACTGGTAATCACTTTGGGTGTATTGCAGGTCATATTGTGAGTGACTGTTCTGGTTTGTTAGGCCTATACTGTCTCAAAATTAAGGGTTTTTTGTGCAGTTTGGACTTAATTTTTCTTCTCTTTTTTCGTTAGAGTGAAATCCCACTGACCAATTCCCAGCAGTTGAACTTTAAAAATAATACTCAACAATAAGAGTTCGTGAAGTGGTAGCAACATCAAAAGACTCTAACTTATTTAAAGAAAATAATTAGAAGAAGAGTGGAAAATTAAGCAAAATTAATTGTTTTAGTAGGGTGAAATTTCATCATTTTGATGTGTGTGGATGTTTCACTAGTGTTGCTGATTTCCTCCCACTTATGCTCTTCATGGCCACCATATGTTCTACTGATAGTGTCACATTACACAACAAAGTCAAGTTCCAAATTGAGGGTTTTTTGTGGGTAGTGTCTGCATTTCAAGATGTGGCTCAAACCACCTCATGGTGCAGGGCATCATATCATGGTGGTCATGGTCAGAAACATAGTGAGTAAGGTCATCATAACAAAACAGTTCCAATTTTTTGCTTTCCAGAAAGACCAAAAACATGCTCTTTTTGTACCAGATCAACTGTAGCTTGCTTACAGTACATGGACTGGAAATACAATATAATTGCATTGGTACCAGACTCGTAACAACCCAGAACAAGCCCAATTGGTCGCTTGTGGGCTGTACATGCAGACATTGCAAATCAACTAAGTCTTTCAAAGGTAGTGATGTGAACCATGTCACTTTCCTCCCTGACTAAATCTTAATCTCCATCTGAAACAGATGGTTAATTTTGCTCTTGTATTTGTCCCCCCCCCCAAGAAAAGGCCCTGATTGGCCATTCATGGCAGATATTAACAGAACCTCTGGTCATCTTGTGAAGGCAAGTTATCCTGGACTTGCCGAGTGACTCCCCTGGCTCATTAGATAGCTTGTGATGTGTATAAATTTTGACAACCATTCCTCCAGCTACAAGTTGTTTTTGTTGTGGCCAGGGCCTCTCCTATTTCAGTCCCAAGCCCCAAGCCGTTAGGAAGGCTGCTGAGGCCTGGTAATACTTTCCAGTGTGGCATTTGGCACGTTCATCTCTCTCAGGGTCTGTATGCATTGCAGAACACTGGCAATTAAGCCAGAGGTGGACATCTCCTGGACAAAAATTGATGAATGGAAAACAGAATGAGAAAAGAATATTTCATTCTCAGAGCTGACTGAAATCCTTCCCTGAACTGAAAGTGCTGATCCAATTGATCAGATTCTTTATATGAATTTATTTGCAGAGGCCATATTAAGGTGTGTCAAAGAAAATTGTGTCTCTGGAGCGTAGTTTTTAATTGGAGATTTAAATTTCAATGGACACACATGCTTTTTTTGTATTAAATTGCTTCTTCGTTTACAGTATTTCTATCAGAGTGGTCACAACACACTACTTCCCTTTTCCAGTGCTTTTTATGAATTACATCTTCGTCTCAGTATGATGCCTATTTTTTTCTGTCTGATTTTTGTGCACCCCCAGCCTGTCCTCTGTCTATTTTTCTTACTTAATGTCTGTCTCCGGTGCCTGTCTTTATCTATGTCTGTGTGCTGTCTGTTTGTTTGTCTGTCAATTTGTCTCTCTGATACCAAGATGTCAGTCATTTTTTTTGGTTGCAACAGCCTTTTGATTAAATGGTATGCCCTCTTCCCGTCATCCCCGTGATCATTCTTCTTGTGTTGAAAATATTGAGATGGTGATATTTTATTTGTTTCTCCGAAATGAAAATAAATGTTGAATCCAGTGAGAGATCCTCCCCCAAAATGTCTCGTTTGTCAAGTGATGTCGGTGCATTGACCTACATGTACATGTATGGGAGAACAGCATTTGCTGATCAAATATTCAACAGAGCTTTATTAAAAAGTAGGAGTTGGTTTGATTGATTGTCAGTTACCGGTATATGCAACACTTAGTCTTTTTATCTCCTTTGGAAGAGTCTAACATTTTACCTTGAGTGCTGATGATTAATTTACTGGTTTTATTATTAAACTGGTTAATTGTATGCCTTTTCTTGTATTTTGGTCTTCTTAGGAGAAGAAATCAATGCTTTCCTAAATGTATGTTTCTAGTCTCAGGTTTGGAGACTCTCATTTTCTCTAATGAATGGCATTTACATATGAGTATACATTACACCGCAAGTAGCCATATTTAAATGTACAGTTACATGTAAGAATAGTGTTTTGTTTGATTTTTTTTTACTGTAAGTAGCCATATGAGCCCCTAGAGAAACATTAAAATCCGATATCATTTTGAATAATATTTATGTTTTGGTCTCAGTCACTTCAAACTTTCTTGTTTCTTCTGTCAACCATGACACACTGTAATAATACAGAAACCAGGCACTTTTTCAGTTGACAAATATTTGCACAAGTTTAATACTCTGTTCAAAAATCATTCTTTGAACTATTTATCTGTAGTTTTAAAAACAATTTTTAATTCTTAGAAGCTGAAGCGCCATTATCCCATCCAAAAAGGTCTTTAGTTCCTTGTCTCTCAGTAACCCCCACACCCTGATCATTTCCCTCTTGACTTCAATAATTTGTCTCTGTATTGATGCAGGCACTGGAGTGTGCAGGAACATTGTTTTTAGAGTGTGTTGTACAATTTCTTCCTGCCCACTCTCCTCCATCCCCGCTATTTGGTTTCCCAATTACCATCTCCCATGCCCTGATCTGCATTTCCAGCAAAGGTCAAGAGAGCTCCAGGATACACTGAAGGAAGCATCGTTATTTGTATTGCCTCCTAATTGACTTCCCGCTATTACCGGACCCCCCCCCCGCAGTGGAAAAAGAACTGATGGGGAAGAAACATCCAAACACAAAAACACATGGAAATTTATTTGGTAGGGTTGTATTCTTTCCAAGGCTGTTTTTTTCCTCAGTGGTTTTGGTGCCATTAATTTTACTTGGAAATATGTAAACAAGAATTTTGTTTGTTGACGTTAGACCCACATGATGAAAACTTCGGAGATCTACTTTTCCTGGTTCTTTTTAGTACATGTATACTGGAAAAAAAATAACCACTAATATTGGTCAGTTGATTGAGAATCTTGCTATTTGATGTACTGACTGGTCACATGATTAGCCGGTTGATTTGCAATTGTGAGCCTGATTGAAAAAAGAAGTTATCAAAAAGTTTGACTAACTTCTTGTTTTATTTTGAGTGAGAAAATTCCACTGAGTTGCTCTTTTCAATTTAAGTAAAGGTTAATTTACTGTAAAAGGCACTTGCTTGTCTAATTCAAGAAATTTTAAGAGGTATAGCATATTTTGGTGGATGTGCATTAGCCATTTGTACGTAACCTATGAGCATGGCTACATGTAAAAGTTGGAGAACACTGTTCTGGGCTCTGAAGGTACATTTATGCTAAGCTGCAGGAACATCAAGACATGTGAATTTACACAACCTGGATTTTGGCACTTCAAACTGTAGCACGTGCACATGTAGCACCTGGCAATATTTTTAGAAAAGGAGAAATCAAGTTTTCTTAAGCAATTCGTAAATGTGTAAAAATATGCTGCAGAAAAGTAGGGTCGGTGTACATGGATCATTCAAGTGCAGAGACCTTCTGGTCATATCAGATGTGAACTTTCTTTTCTGGGAATGGCAACTGAAAATGAAGTAACGCAATACCAGGAGACAGATACGAGGCTCCACTTATCTATTCTGGCCTGCCCTCCTGGTCTGGAAATTAATGAGCCCACCACAGACAGTGAAACCAGGTTACCGGCCATGCCGCCCACCAAGTTGCACGGCATGCATGCGTCATTTTTAGCAAGTGTTTGCTGTACTTTGAAACAAAAGCCTTAGGAATTCACAGTGTTTTTCAGCGTGCCAACATTTTCTTTCCAAAGAACATGACACTCACAAGTTCTCTTCACTTTACTGAACAACAAGTGATCATGTAAGCTTTGTGATTTTTGTATTAGTCATAGACATTCCTTACATGCTGACACGTAGTGTAACTTACTTTAAGAAAAGAGATGAAAATCACTTTGTTGCCCGGCTTATTCCTGCCGTGAAATTTTGCCATGATTTGTGGATAGTTGAACACTTGGCATGTTTGGATTACAAAACTCACACATGTACATATCAGCATTAATGTTTCTTTGGCTTAAAAGTGTGTACTGGAATGCTACATCTAGTTTGTGTAAATTAATGCACCCAAGACCTTTTGCAAAATAGTTGGTTTCTGGACTTGAACCTGCGTTGAATACAGGTGCACGTACAGTACATGTACAGTACACGTACATGTATGCCTCCTAGTAGAGATTAATTTTATAAAATGACCACTATTCCAGGTAACTGATCATGCCTGTATGTTATCAACTGATCTGATGGTATACAAGTACATGTTGTTATAAATACATATGTGTAAACGTCTGCCTTAAGTTCAAGAACATATGCGAGATGTGTATGAATATGGTGGTATCTCCTATTTGTCTACAGGATAAAGACAAAAAATTGTGGTCATATAATTGGGCTAGTCATTGGGAACCTAGATTGATTTTGTTCCAAATTTCTAAGCTGGCGATTGACAATTAGTATTTGTCTTTGATTTTGCTGTCTTCAGATGCGGCCAGCCAAGGTAATGTCACTCCCACCAGCAGTACTGCAGTGCCACTCAGGTAAGTAAAAATTACCTTTAAGGCTTTATTGCTTTCACCTTGCTTTGCCTATATTAGCTCAGCATGCATCTAAACAGAACAAAACAAGCAAGTGCTGAGCAAGCCAGAATTAAGGCTAAACCCTAGGGGGGGATCTGCTCCCCTGAACATTTGTTTCTGATATCGCTGTAGTGCATTTTTTCAGGAGCTGAGCCTGTAGGAGTTTTGGAGTAACTCTTTGTGGTCATTTTGACATCAATTTTATGCTAATCAAACATATTGTTGTGGGGTACCTTAGTGCCCATTTTTCTGAGATCTTTCAGCCAAAAACGTACATATTTTTTTCAATCTGGTGCACAATGCATATGAACTGGCACTCGTGTAGCCTTGAACTTCAAATGACCTTAACAACAAACCATTAATCTGATTGAAATCAAACTTCACCTTTGTAATGATAAAAAGTGTCTTCACATGCATGCCAAGTTTTAAAAAAAGTGAGCACGGCGCAGCCAAGTTGTTAGGGAACACCCCCCATGGGCCAAAATGATTTGGCCCTTTGAGGGTTAATTTAGTATGTGCATGTACATGCCAGTGCAATCAGTAACTGAGGTTTTTGGGATTGCCAGCTTTGAGCAATTTCCATTGCCACTTATGCTGTAACTGCAAGGACTGGATGATGGGCGCTTACATTGCACATGCAGAATGGAAAACATCTTCTTTGGTAAAAGGATTTTGCCCAGTTTCAAAATGTATAGCCCAGTGTGGTTTGTTATCCCTAACAAACCGGACAGAATTGTCATTCTCAGTTTATAACTCGTAAAACTTTACTTTCTTGGACTTGACAAATGCCGGTCATAGTGCGATTGCTTTCAGTAGTAACCATTGTGGCACCAGTGCTGCTAACAGCTGGGGTTTCATCTTTAAGTCCTTAAAACCTTGACAGTTTGTTTAGGCTGGTCCCTGCAAGTTTGCACGGGGAAATTGTTCAAATACGTTCTGGTGCCAATTCCGAGGATTTGTTCAAATTTGGTTCCACGATTGTTTGAACAAGGCTTGGTGGTCCAATACGAGTGTTTGTCGACAAATATCCCTGATAAAAAAAGGAAAATATCAAATTTCCATTATCAATGGGGAAGTCCTGATTCTCCAGAGATCGTCGGTAAGCTATAATGATTTTTGGGGGTCTGGAAAGGGTTCGTGCAGTGAAATATATGTTGCATAAATCACATTTACAGTGACCCATATCATTGGCTCCATGCTAAAAAGATTCTTAAAGTGCTCAGTGAAGCAATTTGTAGGCATTGAGATGATGGATTATTTTTATGTACAGGTATGCTTCTCTTCTTGTAAATTCTTTTTATGTTTGACCCATCAACATCTTCAGAGTTCAGACGAGATTCAGATTCCTCATTGCCATCAATCAAGACCTGATTAATCACAAAAGCAGAAGCGTAAAAGAGACGAGAAAGGGGGCTGTTTAACTTCTAGACCCTGAAAAATACTCCTCGGGCTTTGATGACCAAACAGTTGTCCAGATCATAAAAGTATTGTAGTCCTGTGCACTGAGATGAGGTCATACTTCATCAAATGTGAGACATGTACATGTATTGGTTCAGAATGTTACATGAATGCCCTAGAATCATCGCTGCAAACAATGCTGAAATCTTGACTTGTCCATAGCTCATCTTTGTTATGTTACATGTGGAAGGCTTTTGGGAAGCTGCAATGGTGTGACTGAATCTAACACTGATCTTCTGGCATGTGATCACCGTGGTGGCTATCAACAGTTTATGAGTTGGGATAGGGACCTTTGATTTTGATGATGACATTCAATTACTGTTCGATCTGAGCTCGACTGTGAAATATCGTTAGTCATTCACTGATTAACCAACAGTTGGTCATTGAACTTGCTCATAGTTGTGCCATGTCATTAATTTGTTTTCATGTGAATGTGATATTGATTTTGCACATCCTGCAGGTTTTGTGCATGCTATCCGTCTTTTGTGTAAATCACTGGAAGTGGAAATTCTCTCTCCTGTCAAATCAAACTCCAAGACGTACATTTTAATGAGTTGTCAGTAATTGACTCTATAATTTGGCCTTCAGACTGTGAGTTAAGTAAAATGAAAGGTAGTGGAATAAAAAGAATCATTCATTGAAAAAAAGTAATGAAGGGAACTTTTTTTAGAATATGGTTTGAGATCCTATCTGCATGTATCATCGGTGGACACAAGCCAAAATCATGGAGATGAAGTTCAGGCTCTACAGCAGTGGGCAAAGTTATGTTATCTGCATCCCAGCTGTAATGTGTTTACACTTCCCCTTCTACTGAAGCCATGGAATGAGTGAGATAGCCCTTGTGTCAATAACGACATGGGAAGATGAGTCTAATCTATCATATCTGAGGGTAACTTGAGTGTCAGCTCCCCAGTTAGACAGGAGTTAAAAAAAAAAAACTTGAGTGGGCGTCACCTTCTTGAGAGCCGTACTTCATCTGAACTTGTTACGTTGTGCTTGCTCACTGCATCTGGTAACCTTTCTGTTTACTGTTTTGATGTTAAAAAGTGACCTGTAATCAAAAATATTTCAAGTGTTATTACATTACACCATTTATATACAGCATCATCTGTGAATATTACATTAAATTGGGCCAACAATGGACATGCAAGTTTGACAAACTTGGTTGTCTAGTAATTAAGTCATCATTTGTGAAAAAGATAAAGTACTTAAAGTAAATTGAAGATTTATCCTGCAGTAACAGAGATTGGAAAATATTACAGTTTTGACAGAGTGGCAAATTCTTTTTGTGAAGGAAATATAAATCCCCTGGACTAGTCTTGGTTCAAGGTGTGCTTTCTGCAGAAGCCACAGAGATGTGATGAACCGCTCCTACATCATGGTATTTCTCAGTGAAGCAACATCCTCCTGTGGTGTAGACAGGAAGATACAAGAATGGCTTGAACCAAGGCTCTCCCTGCCTGTAAAATTTCATCAGAGTTGAATGTTTTCCCTGTCCTGTGGAACATCAAATTCTGTTTTGAATGACAGCCAGGGAAAAAAAAAGGGTGCCTGTGTTGTTGCTCTGCTGCAGACATCATGACAGTCAACATTTATTTTCCTTCATTCTATACCTTGTGATAAAGTCATTATCTTGTTTGAGCAGATATTTATTCAGCATGAGGACCCAAAGTTTGAGCAGAGCCAAGATGAGGATGTTACTGCCTTGGTGCAAGTAATGTGTGTTTGAGCAGTGCGTCATCATCATCATCGCAGACAGACTTCCTTTTATCTCAAGAAGGAAATGTTTTGTCCATTTCTGAATATGGTCAGTCAGTCTAGCTCTCCTCTTTAGCGTTATGTACATATAATTAAAATGCAATTTGACATAATGGTGTGTGCAATATATGTGAAGTTTACATTTTATTACATCCTAAGTGGTTAAGTTTCTACAAGCTGCTGACAGATGGACATGTATAGACAGTTAATGGTTTTGAACATTTTATTTTATCAGAATTTCCATGTCCATGAATATTTGAAAACCTTGTGCCATTTTAGATGTGCATTTTTGGGAATCTTTATGTCTACTGTACTATATACAGATTTAGGTGGTGGTTGTAACTATGGCAGAGAAGAAAAACTGCCATAATCCCCTAACCTTACATTCTCTTAATTTTTATTGGTTTTTGCCCTCCGTCCGCTTTCAAAGTTTCTAGTACCATGTCAATTAATAGAACCTAATTGAGACATCAAATAAAAAGGTAGCCTGTCACAAGAAAAGCCTCTGTGGTTTCTTTGTTTATTTGTCCTGGACAAACTGCTGACTTTGAACTCGGCAAGAGCAACAAAGATTGTAGCCAGGAATTCTGCGAGAGCAGACAACCTGTTTACACTGGGTGCCTCAAACCTGGACAGGCCGGTTCTCATCGCCTATCCACACATGATGTTTGAACCAAGCTTGAAGACTCTGACATAACAGGATTGGTAAATGGTCTTTGTAAACCGGATTGTTTGAAATATAAAGATGCATGAAACTAGAGTGTCCCAAAAAGTGGCCCCTCCTCCCTAGAAGAGGAGCTTTTAGTCAGTAAGAAAATTTCAAATGGCTTTAAATGGCTTTTTACCAATATTCAAAGTCAACAAAGTTACATGTAAATGTTTTTTTTTAATTTAGAGGTTGTTGACTTGTTTTTCCCTTTTTAGGTAACAAATTTTGTTATACAGTATTTTTAAAAAAGGAAACTGACATTAATTTCTTCATTTCTTGGACATGGCTAAGTATTTTGTAAATTGGCAACCACCATTTATTAACTAATGATGTCCTCTTTCTTGTGACACCAAGAAATCCAATTTACTGTCAAGAGGAGACTGAGCATGAAGCAGTTCAATCAACCATGTCAGAGCTGGTCTTGCCCCAGATTCACCGCAGTCTAACCCCCACAATTGTCAAACCTAAAAAAGAAGAAGAAGAAAGACCAGTGTGTCCTTAACAAAATTGTTATTCAGTAATTTAACATTTGGGTGCTTATGCCTGTCTGGACCTAACCCCATTGTCCTTTGACATGCCCCTCATTCCTTTCAACACAAGATTCAGCTCTGGTTCTTATCGCTCTCAATGCATTAGTGATTATTACATCTCTCTGTCCTCTTAAGGTCTCATGATGATTCTGGCATGTGGATCATTGATATCTTGGGGTGGCGACTTGTAAACTTGGTTCTTAAGATGTCCCCACAAAGAGAAATCACAGGGTGGAGGTCAGGGGACCTTGGTGGCCACTCAATCTCATGGTTGATTGCAACTACTCTTGGTTAAACTGAAGTTGGGTGGGGTATGCATTGGAGCATACACTGTATTTGCGGACATTCTAATTATAGACTTGGCCATTCATGGAAAAACACTGCTTCATCCCAATCACAAGGTGCTCCAAAAATCTGGGAAGCTTGTCAAGGTACCACTGGCAAATCTTAGTCATCTGGGTAGATCTGAATCAGGAGTTCGCGTCGCCAGTGCATCTTGTAAGGGAGCCCGGTACCATTGGATGTCCAATCGAACAATCTTGTGGAAGGAGGATGGTGAAATTCCCACCCCATTTGTCCTGGCAGACACATTCGGGTCTCTTTGTAGCAACTCACAGAGAGCCCTGATGTTCACATCTGATCTCGTCGTTCTTCGTCAGCCTGAGCGATCCTTGTTGAGATTCAAGCTTGTCGCCTCCGTTTGGCACTTTCGGTTGTTTTTCCAAATTGTCGAGTTGGCGGGAATGGCACGGTCAGGAGAACACTGACCAAATGCATCTGCTACAGTACATGTACTTGCTGGAGGCTTCCTGTCCTCGACCACTCTGCTACCACAAACACACCCTGCTCAGTTGTAAACTGCATTTTGCAGGTCTGAGAAAACGAACAACCTTTCCACTTTTAAGGAGTGTGCAGTGAAATAGCATGTTGGGGGTTACATAATTTTGCAGGCCCAACAAAAGCCCTGCACTGGGCAGACAAGGTTCGTTACCAAAACATCTGTCTGGTGCAAAATCAGTTCTGACATGGTTGATTGAACTGCGTCATGCTCAGTCATCTGTGACAATTAATTGGATTTTTTGGTGTCATAAGAAAGAGGACATCATTATTCAATAAATGGCAGTTGTCCATTTCCAAAATATTTAGCCATGTCCAAGAAATGAAGAAATTAATCTCAGTTTCCTTTTTTTTAAAAACACACTATATATGATAATGTGATTGCTAATATTCATCAGAACATACTGAAATGTTTATGTTCTTTTACATTTTGTACATAACGTAGGATTTTAGCTGATTGAACATATGTTTATTAATGTACCAGGGTGTACTTTAAAGCGCAATTAAACAGTACTTTGTAGCCCGACGAAACAGATTTTAGAATTCCTGAATCGGAAAATTTGAATACTTGACACACTAAAAAAAATCCATCATGTAAGATTTAACTTGGTGTAGCAACCCGTTTTTGCCTTGAAGAAAAGTTCTGTGTTGAGCCAGAGTTGCCCTAAATTTGACACCATGCAGTTTACAGTGACCACCACAGCTTGGGCCATTTTCCCAGAGTGTATCGGTACACGTGGAGCACTGAAATCTGCTTAGCCTGTCAAAATGCGCTCGGCATATAAAAGTCACAGGCCCAAAAAAGTTCATGTGCAGTGTGTACAGCTTCTTATTGGCTTTCATCTTTTCTTTTTTTTTTTTGCTAAGCACATAAATGTGCTAAGCTACAATTTTCCACTTTACAGCAGCCCTATGAAGATGGGCCCTGAGGTTTTGCACGTAGTCATATTGTTGTTGCGAACACATTGCTGGATGTGCCGACTCAAGTTGTTGCCACTCGGAATGCACATAAACAAACACACTGTTCCCAAGTCATTGACATGTACATATGAGTTTATTGTTCAGGGTACCGAGCATCATCAATGACTTGTCTGAATGGTTTTCTGTGAGGTTTGCATCTTCTTTGAACAGGAAGTGCCCCCTTTTGATAAAGAGTCAATAAAAAGAATTTAAAGTCAAGTGGTACCAAGGCGTCACCTGTTTTTGACTGACAAAAAGTGACTGCTGGGCAGGCACTAGAAAGAAAATGTATTTGAAGTTTAGTTTAAAGAAAACGTGGCTTTTGAGACACTCAGCTGCTGGCCTCTTCAAACAGTTTCCTTTGCTTGCCTTAGTGGTTGAACTGTCTGCTGAAGGGAATATTGGGCAAGCGAGTTCTGTTTTAAAAATGCCTGAACAACCCAGGGGTGAGATTTCTCAGCTTTTTACCTGATTTCAGCTTTTTTTCCTCATCACAAAAGTATAGGAGATTTTTACAATTAAGCTTCTTCATGCTTTTTTCAGCTGTTTTCAGCTATTTTTATCATTGGTCAATCTCACCCGTGACAGCCTGAGCTAGGCACGTGTTGAAACCGTCATGAACAACTTCACTGATATAACGCTGACATTTTTGGTTCGTAGGCTGAAGTTATCATTTGTGGAAGGAATTTTCTCTGGTCCACAGTAATAACTTGTAACCTGAAAAGCAAGAAAAACTACCAAATGCAACAATGCAGAGATGATGTGAGTGGGAAGACCACAGAAAAGATTTTCAAATTAGGGAGAGGAGCTTGTGTTTGCTGAGAGTTTGACCACACCCACACGGCCACCCATGTATGAGGTTGTTGTGGTGAAGTGTAAAGAGAGCACCATCTCACCACATTGAAACCCCCCTTCTGACTGTGAAGGTTCTGAAATTAAAAATGTCTTTTTTAAAATGCCAGATTGACAGCAGTGAGGACAGACGAGTAACAATCACAGTATGATTAGTGTCAAGGTCATTTGCAGGACGACGGGCAAACTGTCATGTCATCTCAACCCAAGTTTACTTTTCCCTGTCAAATATTTAAAAAAAAATAAAGAGACAAAGAAAAATGAATACAGTAATAAAGCTAACAAACCAAAGCCTGGCCCTTCATGAAGATAGACTCACACGAGCTCATAGCGCGGGTCAAGTGGAGTGCTATTTGCATACTCATTGGGGGTATTTAGCACATGTTGGAGGAGGTCTTCACGAGTGTGACCAGAGACGGGAAAGAGAGAGGTGGTCGTGGCGGATTCGTGTTGGTCGTAGAAGCCGCAGGGCAGCAGCCGGGCAACAGGGATTTAATTGTTAGCGTGCGATCATGGCTGTCTCGCGGTGTAGACGCGTTCTGGCTCCATCTAAAACGAAGGCATGGTTCTTTGTCCTGGTCTTTTTGGGCAACCTGCGGAGGTTAGTTTGCTGCATATTGTCAATGCACCGAGCCACTTCTGTTCTTGATTGTGAAATTGCACACTGCGAAAACTTCAGTAGCACAAGAGCTTTCTTTGGAGGCTTGAGGCTGATGTATGCATGTTCAGGACAAAGGATTTCTGCACGAAGCAAATTTAAGAACCCTTTCTTCCCATGTTTTTAGTTTTCCGATTCACAGTCAGAGTTTGCATGTGACTCTACATGTATGTAATATGCAACCACCATAGTTTTCTTCCTGTCGAATCGTGATTTCTGTTGTGTGAATCAGAAAAGTGGAATTATTTCTACAGGATTTGAGTTGGCCAGTGAACTCCAGTGAGCTCAGAAGTCAAGGACATCTTCATTACCAAGTGCGAGAAGAAAGTTGTTAGTTGAAACAGGATGCACTGAATATGTGTGACCAATTTCTGTCAACAATTTTGGTTATTGCCAGTGCGCCCTGTGCCAAAATGAAATTTCTCCAGACAGCTTGTTTTTTCTTTGCCAGTTGGGCAGGGGGAGTCACTCAAGCCAGAGAGGATACCATGAAAATTTTTTTTGTGCTCACTATTAGAAATACTGAGTTTTAAGATGGACTGCCAGAAATCTAAACTTGGCCATTCTTTTCCTCCTTTTCTTTGCCTTATGATGCAGGACGGCCCCAGCAGACGGCATACCAGAAATCAAGGTCGACGAGCCTATGAACAATGAGACAGTCTCGGTGGGAGACAAAGTCACACTCCTGTGCCGCATCCGGGGATCCCCCCAGCCCACGTACTGGTGGTACCACAAAGATGCGTACATGATGGACGATGTGGGTCGTGTGACTATACGGACTTACCCCTGGGGTTCTAAACTCATGATCAAGAACGTGGACACGCTGGATGCAGGATATTATAAATGCATTGCGCAGAATGAAGCAGGGTCCAAAGAGACAGTCGGTCTGGTTTCTATATTACCCGGTGAGTTGGTTAGGCAGAGAGTTTCATAACCATGGTGATAACAGGGTAGGATTAAACCTGTGTTTGTTTCCTCTTGCCCAGTAGAAACTTATGCTGTTGCAGTACATAACTGCATGAAGTCTGGCACATCTCAAAGTTTCCCATTCCTGAATTGCTGTGGTTGTACTTATGAGAAAGGGAAATGAAACTGATCTGCCTTTGCCAGTATTCGGCATGTGGATACTTCTTTTTTGTTCTAGCACCTGGGCTTTTTCATGTGTTGGGAGACAGGCATATCTACAATGTATATTGCGGCATTAGGTCTTTTACATGTACATTAACTGCTTGCCAAAATCTTATGTGGAAAGTACTTCATTTCGTTTTAATTCATCACTGTCTGGTAGTTCCAAATTCGAGGAAATTTCTACTTTAAATTGGTCTTCATGGAAATTTGTAATATATTAAAGCATTGGGTTTTTTTTGGAGACAGTAGGACACTCAAAGTTTCTAACATACTGTACATGTAAGTCTTTAATTCAACTTGACTTGACCAAATAAAAGGCTTTCTGTAAAAAAGAACAAAAATCAAGCAGCATTTTTGTATTTGATGAAGGAAAGCTTCCATTTGCAAGTCAAAAGCCTTTTCGAACAGAAAATATAGCAATGGAATCAGAATGTCACAGCAATTGATGATGGATGTGACAGACAAAGCAAGTGATCGCATGCGTTCCACTGTTGGAAATAGAGTTTTCAGAAACAAAAAAAAAAAAAGTGTACAGCAAAGTGTATTGAAGAGGAAGTAATTATCAAAAGTAATCAGTGAGGCACAAAGAAGTAATCATCTCCCTTACTTTCCTTACGTGGTGGCCTTGGCCTCAGATGTGAATGAACAAGAGACTGTTCTATTGGCTTTGAGCCTGATCTGTAGAGGGCACTACTACATTCACTTCACTGTCCTCTTTAGTGTCCATCAGCTACTCTTAGATGTGTAACCAGGCTTTAGCACATGGTATGACCTTCATGTTAGCAAGTGCAAGGTCTTTGCCTTCACAAAGAGAGTGCTGCAAGACTGGTTGGTTCCTGATCCATGCAGTTTATTCTTTGGCATTTTCCCAAATCTCATCTCTGTGGTAATCGTTCATCCTAGACATGTCTACCATTTTTATGTCATTCAATTGTTTAACTCCATACATGGTGTGTATCAGCCCCCAAACTACCTTAGTGGCCTTAGGAAGTCTTCTTTGTACACAACAGAAGGATTGGAAGTGTTGATTTGTGGATGATGTGTATAGATATCCTTCCCAGTTTTGGCATTTGAAGACATACATGTACATACACCCGAGCAGGCCCCCCAAAATGCATGGACTTCGGGCTTTGATATCCCAAATTTTCAGAGTTAAACTGATTAGGTTCAGTTCAGCTCCGTTTTCCTCCACATGCACATTCATTTGTCTGATATGAGGACATTGTCTGGGGAATTTCATTTCTTTAACCGCAGCCAAAATTTGAAACAGATTTATGGGCCTGAGATGAAAGTAAAGGCAGAGACCAAGCTGAGATTTGAAAACTCTCCCAGACCTTGAAAAAGAAAGATTATGGTAGTAAAAGGAGACTTACTGTACAGTGTGGTTTGTGTGTGCTTCCGTCTACTGGTAAAATTATTAAGGAGAGATCTTGCATTAACAGTACTTTGTCATTTTTTACCACCATGTGAAGATTTTTTGTTAGAATCAGTTCGTCTTTCGGCAAAAATTATGTGTCACACTTGCACCAGTCTATTTACTCACTTTATTTATTTGATATGTACATGCACAATCTGGACTGAAATTATCACAGGTTGCAAGATTTGACAAGCACCATAGTTTTTTCAAGCATCTTCACACATTGAATGAAATTTGGTAAAACAAACCCTTTTCTCTGGAAAACATTTAGAAAGATAAGTTTAAGGGCCAAAGGAAATGTTCTCCCATTTGATCTTGCAAGAATTTACATGTACGTGTTCACATGCATTTACTTTTACTGGCACAAAGCCTAATGAGCCAGTGTGCATGTGCATGTACTGCAGGTTAGGTGTACATGTACCTTACTGTATGTGAATCACTGGCAAAATGATAAAGTTCATTATTACAGGCCTCTCTGAAGGGCAATTTCATTTCCAAATTATTTATCTCAGCCAGTCCACAATGAGGTTCACAGATTGGCTATCTGTAAAAGAGACAAGTAGGAGATTTGGGGAATTAATTTCCTCATATCCTGCTCAGGTGCCAGGCATCAATTGATAAGTTGCTTCAACTTGAACATATCGAGGCACATTGCTAAAAAAAACCCCAAGGAGTATGAATACCGGTTTTGATTTAAATGTTGAAAATGGGAAAGAAACATTAGGACGTGATGTGGCATTGTAATGATTGTTAATGTCCCCTTGCTCACTTATGCAAGGACCCCTGTTTATAGTAAATCACCAACACCTCTGTGACATACTGACCCCCCAAAAAAATTTCACCTTGACTGTAGCATGTGCAAATGTGCACCTATGGCTAAGCAACATGAAAAAGTAAGCATTCATGTCCATCTTTTAGTGCGACATGTATTGCGGGGATTTAGCACAAACAGTGATTAATTACTTATCATCAAATATGACAAGCATCCTTGTCAGTACAAGAAAGATGAGCAAAGACCCATGCTCTTTTGTCATTTTCTTTTCCTGACGCCGTTTGATATGACACATGAACTGGCATCTGTTCAGCTCCTTCGTCCCGCCCACAGTCTGTTCCTTCATCCTCCTCTTGTGTCTGTTTATTGAGCTAACCTTCCCTCATGTTTGTAAAGAGACATTTTTTTCCTTTCTTTTTTTTTTCCACAAACAGCGCCACAAAGCCTCAGTACGGTCAAGTCTCTCCTTGCATGTCATCGATGACAATCTTGTGCAAATAAACGACCCTGCAGGCTTACCCCACAACTGATTGATTGGAAAAATAAAGAAATTCCATCATTTTTCCCCATTAAATATGTACATACCCTATTTCTAGTACACAGCAGTCCATGTGTAACTGAACCATTACCCAGGCATCACATCAAGTACATGTTCATGTACGTGTACATCATGTGGATCATAGTACTAGGCACATTGTACAAGCCTACATTTGGGTCAGTGTAAGGCCACTTGTTCATGAGTTGAACGATTAATTTAAACTTAAAAGAGTTAAACATTTTACATACAGATGCATGTGTATGATCTGGTATACTGCTACAAGCCCCATTGCCTCTTCATGTCCGTTCAGTCAAATATTCTCCCTTGTTTCATTGTAAGTTTGATTTTTGTATGCTTTCCCATGAGCTACATGTAAGAAGGACATACATGTATATTGAATGAACAGAAATTACTTACTACATGTACATTCAATTTAATTCCATTTGAAATTAACGCCATGTCAAAACATAAGTTAAACATTGATTTCCCAGTCTATAAGTAAAGAGAAGTTAAGAATTCATCAAATCACAGCAATAAAAATGAAAAGAAAAATGATTAAATTTGTGGTATATTGAAGCACGCACAAATTATTGTTTCAATATGTTATCATAAATGTTTGCACAAAATTAACGCCTTGTGTACATTTTGTCACGTAGCGAAAGCCCACACAATGCAGGGTGAGTGCGAGTTGTAATAACCAGATATTCCAAGCTGGGTTTTTTGCTGCCTCAGGGGACACCCAACTTCATTTTTCTCCCCCCCCCCTCCATATTTCCTTCACATGATCAGGTTCATCATCATGCAAAATGCAATAATCCAGGCCTTCTTGCTTGTTCCCGCGTGCCCGTACGTCAACACTTGCGACCAGACTCACAGGTGATGCAGGCTAATGTTCAGCCAGTCTTTCCATTTTTTTCTTTGGGGGGGGGGAGGAACATGATCTCGGGTGAACAATAAAAAAATCCAAACTCCACTGGAATGGAGGACTGTAAATCCCTGGCAATTTTTTTTTTATTAAGACAAGGTATTCGCTTTATGGAAAATTGACTTTAGGAATTTTCTTGCATGACTCTGTTGTGAGCAGTAATCGTCTGCAGAGCTGGTATTTTTTATTAATGGCATGTGGTAGAAATACTCTTTAAGGTGTCTTGAAATAGATTCTTTTTCACTTGAATCCTGATCATGCACCTGTTGGTCCGGTTCTTCTGAAGCTGTTGAGCTTCTCACTGTAATTTTATGAGTGTTTAGTGACTGCTGTAACAATCTCCTTGGTTTCATGTTCACAGGCATGAATTCAGCCATTGCAAATAATATTTCTGAACCCAGGAGAGGAAAACATAACTTTTCTTAATTTCCTTTTCTCTTGCAGACAGTTGAGAACTTTTGACTCTGGAAACATGGAATGTATCAAATCATACTTTGACTGATAAATTCCTTTTTCTTTTTTTCCCACAGGACCATTTAGCGAAGGAAGTGATAGGTAAGTTTTGATGATGAGCGATTGCGATTGATACACCGATCATTCCACCGTCCATCTGTTACATTTCTCTCGGTTTGACAACATTGTGTTCAGTAATTAATGAACATATTAGGATTCAAATGTTTATTTCATAACGCTCCTTTAAAGCAAATATAAAAGCACAGCATGTAAAGTAATTTTTAGCATTACTTCAGTTTATGTGAGGCCCCATTGTGCACAAAGCACAGGTTGAGGTAAGGTACAGAGTACTTGGTCAACCTGTGACATAATGACTTTTTTGTTTTGAGCATTCTCAAGTCCCTGGCCTGCCCACCCCTTCTCCTCTGATTTATGATCCAGTCAATTTGCAAGATGCTTAAAGTGGTTGTAAAACAATCAGCAGAGGAAATTTATAAAGGCCAAGGAGGCCAGGCTTGGCAGAGAGACCAGAAAGTGGATGAGTTCTTGTGCTGGGAGAAAAAGAAAATAGCAGCTGATTTAAAAGGACTTTTGAAAGCTTTCACACATTTCCATCAGGCAGTGGTAAAGTGTGATTAGCAGTGTGGCTTGTATGCAGATGTACATGTTGTGATTTGGAAAGTAGTCGACATCATCTAAAATATGATGTCTGTTGTTTAAAAAAATTACATTCTTCCATGTCTACAGTTCCATGCCAAGTAGTAAATTTCATGTCTGGGGCATCAAAAGGGTGTGTCCATAAATTGATGCTGCCAGAGAAACAAAAACATTGACACTGTGCAGGTTCTTCATGACCTGGAGCAGATGGCTGTACATCACAATAACTGTCAATTTTAGGATAGATCATCCGCCCATAAACTGCGTAATTGCTGGACTTTTATGATTGAAATTTATACGTCTGAGGTTTTATGAAGTGATGTTCATTACACGTTTAAATTGGAAGGCTTTCAGGAAGGGCTGAATGTGACCATAAATTCTCTCAGTATTATTGTCTCCTCTTTTGTATCATCCTCAAACTCTTCCGTCCCTTGTCCTGCCAAAAATGGCCAGAATTTCATCTGTGTCGGTACCATGTCAAAGACGTCACATGTTTCACTTTAATAGCAGGAAAGGTTATAACCTACAGTTTGGAAGAAATGCAAGGTTGGAAAATAACATTCAATTTTATTATTTTAAACCAGAGGCATTTTGTGGCTTACATAGTTCACATGAACAGATTACATTCACTTAAACTGTCAATTTCCCAAACCATTGTGATATTTCATGCATGCATGTGTTTGGATGATTTGTCTCGCAGCAGACATGTTGATGGATGTAAAACTCTGTGATATAATTCTTTATGACTCTTCCACCCCAGAAACAGATCCTCCCAGCCTTTCAGGAGAAGTAGACAAATACCCTATAAATAGGCTGATAAGTTTGTCAAATTTCGACCAAACAATTTGCTCACTTATTATGCAGTTGGTTCACTATATTCACTGCTTAGTATGAAGTGCTTCTGGGTTGCTGGGCAGTGGTCAGAGATGCGTGTTACCAATTTAATTACTTTGACCCTCGACCCTGGTCTATTTCTCTCTATTAACTGTGGCTTTGTAGACTGGCTAGTTCATGACCTTTGCTCCCAACATAGGAAATGAGTCATCAGGGCTTCTTTAAGTTATCAAACTTATGAGTTTTACATTTTTAGTTTGGTTTAGACGTACAGCAGACCATTGTGAGTATTATATAAAAACTGACAACAACTGAAGTTTGAAGTGTTTTAGAAACATCATAGAGTACGAAAAATTTTGTTGACTAGTGTTACAGCAAGACTCAAACCCTCAACTTCGTACTTTGAGGGCGAGGGCTGCACCTTGTGCACACACCCACACTTGTTTTACATACGAAGCGTAAACATTCCTTTGTTCTCCTATGGTTATGGAAACTCGGGGGGGGGGGGGAAGCTCCTTTTTCTCCCACTAGGATAGCCCCTTCAAGCTAGATTTTTGATGATTTCCTAGGCTGTTGCTCTTCATTTTGCTATGGATAACCCTGACCCCAAAATGCCTCTGAAGCTGTTTTTTAGAAAGCTGTTTTTTAGAAAGGGGAAAATATTAAGTGGACGTGTGCAAGTCCACACAATGCCATTACACCCTACATTATGTGGACTTCTATTATGCAGTGTAACGGTAGGACGCTTACATCTTTAAACAGTTAAATGAAAAAGGTTCCTAATCCGTCTGCAGATTTTCCTAAACATTTAAACAGAACTGTCCCTTTTAGAGGTTTACGCTTTGATTGACACAATCTGACATTCATTTTTCTTGTAAACGATGCCTATAAATTGCAGTCTGATTTTCAGAACACTTTACTGCACTATCTTATCAAAGGAATACCATGAATTCATCACCAGAAATTTGTGTTAACTATTTACATTGTATACAATTTGTTACATGCATTGATTGCTGTTTACATGGAACCATTGAACCGGAAGTTAACGCACAACTTCAGCGATTGTCCAATGGGAGCCTGCAAATGGTGGTGCATCTGCCTTTGTGACGAAGTCACTTACAAACCGGATTGAGAACATGAAAGGGTGTGGAACAGGCGTTGTCAGTTTTCGTCTAAATTTGCTCATGTCTGAAGTGTCCTTGCCTGGCCTCTGGGCACACAGTGCTAGTGACACTCAGGTGTCTCAGATATTTCTGCCTTAAGTTGAGGGATGCTCATGCCTGTTGTCCATGAGGGGCAGTGAGTAAACCATCTCCCAAAGGACATCGCCAAATGTGAGCCCAGGCTTGAAAAGTAAAGTAACGGACTTAGGTGTGGGCCCAACAATGCACATTGACGCTTTTTCCAAGACAGGCTAAACGTTTTGAAATACAAATTTGTGTGAATGATTATCCAACATGCATCTCTTGCATGGCTGGGATTTCAAGGTTGTTTTACATCTTCTTACACTCAGTGACTACAGTGTCAACCTGGACAATGCTCGATGTGAGCCCTACCGCGGTTCGGTCTGCCGTCGCCACATCACCAGCAGCAGCGTCTACATGCCGATGGATGCTAGTCAAGAGGAGACGGAGCAAGAGCTGCAGGCCGCCCTGACCCGGCTGGAGTCCCTGCCCAGCTTGACTGAGGCCTGCAGCCGCTATATCCTGCCCTCCATTTGCCTGACCGCCTTCCCACTCTGCGCCGAGACGGCCCCGGCCGAGCTCTCAGTCCACCGGCTGTGCCGGGACGAGTGCCAGCTCCTGGAGACGGACATCTGCGCCCCGCTCTATGACCACGTGGACTCCCAGGTGGAGCTGGACCTGGTGGGCGTGCTGCCAGTGTGCTCGGACCTGCCGCGGCTGGGCAGCCCCGACAGTCAGATGTGCATGAGGCTGGGCATGTCCAACTCAGGAGGTGAAGGAGATCAGTTTCCCAATTCTCAGCTTCATCCTTTTCTGAGGCTTCATTTCTGACATTGACACCTCTTACATGTATAATGTTTGCACTGTTAACCACTTGATGATTTATTCCATGTTGAAATTGTTTAAGGAATAGTGGTAGTACTTTTGGCCCAAAATGACTTTTCAGAATAAAGATAATACCACCACCACAGTCCTTCACAAAGTTGGACTTAACAAATTGTAACCCTTGGTGGGCAGTTGTTCAAGATTTGTATGGCATTTCTTACTGCAATGGTGGCTTATTGAAACTCAAATGTGACAGAGTGATATATATTTGCTACAGTACTTGGCCATGGCTCAGAACCACTTGAGCACCCACACAAGCTGAACTTTCACGAACTAGCTTAAGGTTCTGTGTTTATACATGTACAAACTCAGTAAATGTAGGGACAAGTATATAATCAGTCAGCAGTGCATACGAAAGTAATCAAAATGTACTTCCAAATCATCAGTGCTTTGACACTGGAAATCCTTATGTTATGACAATAGCTTTCATCATTGGATGGACAGTGTAAAGCTCACTGCTCTTTTGGTGAAATCAGATTTTTTTTGTGATGGTAAACAATCGAAAGTCAGAAAGGGGAAGGGGGTTGACAATCTGACAAGGCCAGAAATGGAGGTAAAGCCAAGATCTTGAAAGCCTCATAACGTGCTGATACTTCATAATGGACATTTATTTATCTCTGAAGCAACTTGAATCTTCCTTGCTGATTGGTTGATCTGTAGCAGCAGCCATGATGCTTCGTAGTCCCGATCAACTCTGCACGGTTCATTTTGTGCCTTACAGATTTCCTTTATTTTGCTGTCTGCTCAAAAGCATCTACCCCCGGTAAAAAGAGTACAATTTGCCAAGCTTTCTGCTCATTAACAAAGAACATGATAGGATCACCGGTTTCCTTTTTTTTTACAGAAAATGACTACCAAGAGCACCTCCCTGGGGAGTGATTTTTATAATAGGCAATGTTTAATTGTGTACATTCATATTTTAATAGCTTTCCAACACTGCAGTAACTCAGCCTGGAAAATGTCACCATATATTTTCATAGAATGCATTAACCGTGCGCTAGGTTTTGTATGTATTCGCCACATACACCTATGTGGTCAATGAAAAATTGGCCAGTTTATTTTGAAAGCTTTGTAGTTGCCATTTCTGCAATCTGTCTTTTCTTTTTCCTTTCAGATGCTACAGTATCACCATTCCAAAGACCAAGGTAAGTGAAATGGAAAACGTAAATAAATTTGAAGCCATACACACGTTTACAAAATTCCCTTCTTTATTTGTGCTCTGTTAGTGCAGACTTACAAGCAGTGCATTTCGGAGCTGCCCTTCATTGTGTTCTTTTTTGTGATCTTTCAATAACCCTACTGTAGTAGTCCGTTGCAATCTGTTCTCATTTCTAAATCACAAGTATTTTTTTCATTGGTTTATCCACAGCGGGGACTACATTAGCCTGGAGCGGGACATGAACAACCAGACAGAGCTGCGCACGGGTGACCGTGCTGTCCTCCGCTGTCGCATTACCGGCGTGCCCGAGCCACGCTACACCTGGTACAAGAACGATGTGCCGATATCTGAGCGAGGGAACCGACGGATCACTATCAGGTAGGGGATGAACATCATAGTTGCCCTGGGGCTCTCCCGACTAACCCTTCCTGTTCCTTTGGATCAGGCCTTTCATATGTCGAATAAGAGCAATCTTTGAGCAGCTGACAGAAATCCATACGGCTCATTGTCATGCCTTTATGTAGAATTAGCATTTTTGAAGTATGGCAGAGAATGAAGAGTTTTAAAATCCAAACCGAATATTTCCCTCCTATCAAGGGTGTCAAATCGCAAAAAAGGCTAATAGAAAGTTACTGCAAGTAGTAATTGGAGAAAGCAGCCAACATGAGGAATGTAAGATGAACACATGTAGACCCAATTTCACATCCCTGCCATGTCCACATTTCTTATGCTCATCATGGCAGTGTTTACAAGGTCGTACTTAAATCAAATGCTGCAGATTTGCTTTGGACACAATTTGGACCGACTGTTACCAACTGTCAACCGAAACCTTGATAGGAGCTCAGCGCATTGAATTTCAGTTTATTTGACATGTTGGTTTAAAAAAATGGTTCTTTCATAGAACCAGCCAAGACGCTTGATCACTTGAAGAAGTTACCTCAGTTGCTTCTTGAATTCTAAACGCAGGTCTAGTAACAGCCATCCATGCACTCTTTATGTAAACAGGACATATGACTGGGGATCCAAACTTTCCATCAGAAATGTGGACACCACAGACACAGGATACTACTTATGTGTTGGGGACAATCGAGCAGGCCGGCGAGAAACAACCGGAATTTTACTTGCAAAAAGAGGTGAGAAACAATGACATTTTTACAAACTTTCAATGGTTTATGGTCTCAAGCTTATTTTTTTGTTATATGATTGTACGTGAAGCATATTCAACTTGAAACCTGTACCGCATCTGATACTTTATTGCTTTTGGTTTTATTCGCAGGAGATCCACCACGCACTCTTGGCCCAGGCATATCTGTGTAAGTCATTGCCTCATTCAGCAGCAGTTGAATTTGCTTGTTCTTGTTTTTTAAGCTTAAAAATTATACCATGCGTTAGCATGGTTGTAGTCAAGACTCCTTAGACCAACACAAGATCTCCAGTCTGAATCAAGTCACAAGCTATTGATATAAACTGGAACAAAAGCATTCCTTTGTCACTGTTCACCCAGCTACTTGTGAGTGGCCCTGTGGGTAATCTTGTGAGTAGTCTTGTGATGGTCTCAACTACAACTCTGACTGTTATCATACCTTACGGGAAGAGATATGATAACAAGACTGCAGATTCGTTATACCTCTAATATACAATAAGTCCAAAGTTCCACCAGATCCAAAGTATTGTTAACATAGAGACTGATTATTTTTTCATTTGCAATGTGATATGATGTCATCTTACTTAAGGGCATTATTTTGAGACGGAAACTGGATTGATGTAAAATTTACATCAATGACCACCTCAAGCCACCAATCACAAACACGTAAAGTCTTTTTAAGGTGAGGGCGACAAGAGACAAATGAGGGAATAGTAGAAAAGGAAGACAATTTAAATTCAGCATCATGATATTTGTGTAACTGCTGCTACAGGCCAACAACTGGTTACTGCCAGCCCTACCGCGGCATGACCTGCTCCAACTTCATCGGCAACAACAGCATCTACGTGACGGACTACCAGGCGCAGGGGGAGGTGGAGAAGCAGCTGACCAGTGCCTTCCTGGTCATCATGCACGACCTAAGCGACCGCTGCCAGCAGTTTGCTATCCCCTCCCTCTGCTACTTCGCTTTCCCATTCTGTGATGCCGAGGCTGCCCAGCCCCGGGGCCGGGAGCTGTGCCGGGACGAGTGTGAGATCCTGGAGCTGGACCTGTGCCAACAGGAGTATGCCATTGCCAAGGAGTACCCCGGGGTGACCCTGCCGGACTGCCGGAGGCTGCCACGGATCGGGACTAAGGAGAGCGAGAACTGTATACGTATTGGTATCCCTTCTGTCAAGGCAGTCAGTGGTAAGTCATTTAGCACTGTGTTCAAAGTTATTTCCTTGTTAGGGAAAGAGGTCTTTTGCAGCATTCTCGAGTGTTTAAGGATGACAGCAGTATACGCAATCCTGAATGATAATACTACTCAAGAACCTGTAGGGTACCTGCTCTCAATTCTTGTTCTTGTCTGTGAGTAACTCGAGCATTTTTAAAGAGCATTCTAACTAAAGAGGGAGAGTGCCCTTTAAAATGGTAATGCAAGGATGCATACTTCCATGCATTCTTTACTGTCAGCATCTCTTGGCTTTGAAATGGGGTCAAAGATTGGCCCAGTTTTCCTGATGTGGTTAACTTTGTCTGCAAATTTTTACAGCTCGTCAGCCAAAGTGGTATTTTCGTAAAGAGTGGCACTTTTATTTCTGTTCCAGCAAAGGGGCAGGTCACAGCTTTAGATTTCTTGAAATGCTGCAGTAATGGACGAGACACAGTGCACTCAGTGTTGGTACATTTGTAAAGCTCTTCTCACTCCTTTGTCTTCTTATTGTTGACCAGATGTGAAATGCTACAACGGTTCAGGCATCTTCTATCGGGGCAAAGTCAACCACACCAAGTCTGGATATGAGTGCCAACCATGGGAAAAACAAGAGGTTAGAACACACAGAAATGGTGTTTCCTTCCATTGTTTTATTTTATGAGAATATGTTTTTCAGTAGGCACTTATGTTTGCCATGGTCGTTTTAAAAAGAAAACCATATCCTACTTTACATCATTTTTAATAATCTAGTACTTCGAAAAAAGTAATTGGAATGGCATCTTGGACTTAATAAAGTTTGAAGAAAACAACCAATTCATAAATTATCTTTGTTTTAAAAATCAAACAATATTTCCAAACTGCAGACCAGATTTCACATATCAATTAATGTATGGAGTCCATTATTGTATTTAAACCAAACTAACTTTCAGCCTTTTTTCATTGTACAGCCTCATTCACATTACCTGCTACCTGCTGAGTATCCGGAGCTGGCAGGGGGTCACAATTACTGCCGCAACCCTGACAATGGGCTGGACAAGCCCTGGTGTTTCACCATGAACCCTGACGTCCGAGCTGAGAAGTGTGACATCCCCGACTGTGGTAAGGCAATGCATTTGTCTCTTCTTTGAGGGGGCAGTCTTCATCTCTTGACAATTCTTTGTCTCGATGGGTGCCATCAGAGCTGACAATCGAAATCATTGATTGTGCTAGTCATATGCTGCTGGGTGCGAAAGGTACCTGCCACACAGCTGCAGGTTTATCACACAATATGGATACCAACAAGTTGTGTGGACCAAGCTTACAAAATGCTAAACAAGTCTCTAGAACATTTTCGGAATAATGATTAAAATCATTAGGAATTATCATCTTTTTTTCACCCACATAATACACGGTTGCACAGGTACATTTATGTCAAACTGAGTTATGTACCACAAATGAAGGACTGATCATACTCTTTCCAGTGCATATACGAAACATTTTAACGTGTAAAGTGCATTGTCAAGGATTGTTGTGAAATAATTACTTGTGTAGACCCTTTAAGAATCATAAATTTAGTCACATAATTGTGGAAGATAAATTGACTTCAGTTGAATTCCACCTTAACAGTCAAAGGAGAAATTTAAACAGGCGTGTTCAGATAGTGGACTCTCTACACAACCTAAAGTGGGCACAATTTTTGGCACAAATTTTTTTTTTAAACTTCAGACGACCCGCTTCAGGAACCCACCAATAAGCCAGAGGTGTTGTACATAGTGGTCCCGGCTATCGCCGTGCTGTTGTTTATCGCTGTCATCTTGGGCTGCGTGATCATGTGGCTGAGGCAACAGAGAACGCAGCGCTATGCCAACAACAAAGGGCTAAACAACAGGCCGGCTGAGATGGTGGCGTTGCAGCAAAAACAACAGGTAGGGCCACCAAAAAAATGTAAAAAAAAACTTTGTCCCTTCATGACCCTGAAAATTTCATAGAGCTATCTGTTTTTGCTAAGCAAGGGAATTTTGCTTAGCAACTTCGTAAGTCAGTGAAATTAACCTCTCACAGTAGAATCTCAGCTTGTGAAATATTGTCCAATTACATGATGTACATATACAATATGGATGCAGGACCCGCAAAATCTGAGATAAATATATTTCAAAATAAACAATCCCAAAGGGTTATCAAAAGGGGTGTAGCTTACTCACAAACAGCGATATGTCAGTTGACTCAAGGTTGTACTTCTCTTATGCAGGAATCATGATGTTGACACTTGAATGTGCCTTATTAGAGCACAGTGGCACGGATGTATTGGTGCTCTCATGGGCGACCAGTAGAGTTACCAGGTCCAAGTAGCCAGTGTTGGACTGTCAAACAAATTTTGGCAATCTGCATTCTTATATGGAGGCATGAAAAAGCATAGCTGTGAACAAACATACACCCATGAGAACTCTTCTCCCTAAGGAAGGATTTGGTTCAGTTTCACGTGCAAAATATAAGCGCGGAACATACATGTGATGTATGCTGTGTCAAAAAGGGCAATATACAGTGTGTGTATTCTGTCGTTGCTATGGATTGACCAATCTGAACAGAGGACTTGATTTTCGTCTGACAATGTATTAGTTCTGGTGGATGTATTACACTGACAGTATTGTGGTTCATAGCTGTTTCTTGAATGACTTTAGCATTCTGCCACATCTTGAAATGCTCATCTTAACATCCATGTTATGTTTTTGTTACATTCATATTTTTATGTTTATTTTTTATTTTTGCATGGTATGTGGGTTCATACAATAAACGTAGTGCAGTTTCAAGTCATAAATGAATGCATTTCATCCGTCTTTCTTCTTTTGGATTTTTATTTTTGCCTAGGTATTCATTTCTTGTCTTGTACTTCCTCCAACCAAATTTGCCAATCTTGTTTTCTTACAGTGTCATAAACATGAGATATTTACTTTGGTACACATATTTTTCCCACGTATTTATTCCTCAAAAAGCACTGAAAACACTGATAAAACAGTTTTACGGTTTTGGAACAGATCACATATTATCTCAGTCAAAAACCAGTGTTAGTGGCTGATATGTTTTCCATGTATATAGAAAGCATGAAGTGTTACTTGAAAACTCCAGAGGTGATTCTTATAAGCAGCATGTTTAAAAGGACCAAAGCTAATTGGTGCGATAAATTTCAACCCAATAACCTTTGGAATAAGGCCTTCATGAATTGATTAAGTTTTTTCTAAACTTGTTTATCTACTATGCATTACCACAGACCTTTCCCCAGCTCCAAACCAATTCTTAAATATAAAGTAAAATAATTCAACCCTTAAAATCAAATTTCAAACTAGAAGATAACAGTTTACATTGAAAGAGTTGAAAGCTTTGACTCATCTCATGCACCCAATCACAGTCATGCCTTACTAATCCTTTGTTTTATGTTGCTTTGTTTCCATGGCATGCAGGTCCGTGACTTTCCATTGGCTGCCATCAAGTTTCAGGAGGTTCTTGGGGAGGGTACATTTGGCAAAGTTTACAAGGGGGAGCTGATGGGGTTGGAGCACCAGTATAGTGTCAACTCGGTCACAATCAAAACCCTCAAGGAAAACTCTGCGGCCAAGATGGAGCAGGACTTCAACCGGGAGGCCGAAGTCATGGCCTCCTTGCGCCACCCTAACATCATCTCACTGCTCGGTGTGTGCACGACGGAGCAACCCCATTGCATGCTGTTTGAGTTTATGCCGCACGGTGACTTGCATGAGTTCCTCGTCCGCCATTCCCCCAACTCGGACATTGGCTTCGGCAGCGGGGACGACGAAACGCAGTCCTCACTGGACCAGTCGGATTTCCTGTCCATCGCCATTCAGATCGCCTCGGGGATGGAGTACCTCTCCAGCCGGCTGTTTGTGCACCGTGACCTGGCGGCGCGCAACTGCATGGTAGGTGATAACCTGCAGATCAAAATTGCCGACTTTGGGCTGTCACGCGACATCTATTCGGCGGACTACTACCACATGCAGGCACAGGTGCTTCTACCCATCCGCTGGATGGCTCCCGAGGCGGTCATGTTTGGTCGCTTCTCAGTGGAGAGTGACATCTGGTCATTTGGGGTTGTCTTATGGGAGATTTACTCCTACGGCTTACAGCCATTTTATGGTTATAACAATCAGGAGGTTATAGAAATGATCCGCACCAGGCACATACTGCCTTGCCCCAGTGGCTGCCCCCCACACATGTACGTACTCATGACAGAGTGCTGGAATGAGGCCCCCAATCTTCGGCCAAATTTCAAGGCCATCAATGCCCGGTTGCGCTCGTGGGAAGCACTACCAACCACCAACCACCAAAACGGTAACCTGTACACTAACCCTACTGTCAATTTCAACCCCATGTGCGGCCCCATCTCTCCGACACAAACCCACAGCAGTTCGGGGGTCAAAAGCCAGTTGTCTTCGCATCACAGTCGCTCCACGCACAGCAAGGGTTCCCACGGTGACAGGGCCGCGGGGTCGTCAGAGAAGGCCATGTCGGAGAGCTCAGCTACAACGGGAGGCACGCATTCGACAAAGGGTAAGAAGGACAGAATGGAACAGACAGCTGTTTGAGAGGGATGTTTTTATTTAATGCTTCGTATGTACATTGTAGCTAAGATCACCAACAGGGCCGTTCAAAAAGTGGCCAGCTCCACACTAAAGAGTCGCTCTTCGCACAGTGGTAATTCATGTAATCAACTATTGATGGTGACGTGATCAGCACGTCTTTGGAACTGTAATGAGGTGCTTGTCTGCCTGTGCAATCCACGTGATTTCTGCTATCGTCAAACATCACAGTCCAATGTCACAACGCTGCTTTATATTAACAGAGGCTTCATGTATTTCATGGAGATTGGAAGCAGTAGGCACTGCAAAAGGTGCGCTTACCTTAGTGAGGTAACAATGGAAATCTCCATGCACGTGTTTGTTGGCGTTTCAAATGATCAATTTCACATTACTCATGGATCCATTTCTGTGATCTCTGTGAAACTCTGTGAAATTCTTCAATGTCATCAAGCATGTTAACCCAGGTGTGCGAATATACATGTAGGTTACTAGGAGTTGTGCAATTTTGTGAGCTTGCAACAAACATGATGAAGTTACTTTTTTAATAACGGGTTTTGCCCACATCAACAATCATAAGAGTGTATGCTCAGTGATTGTCAGAGTGCTCGCACAAACAATCACAAGCCTACTCGGGTGGGACTCGAACCCATGACCTCCTTCTTACTAGTACAGACATCTTACTTGAGGCAAGGCATTCTTGCACACCTAGGATCACCTTAGGGAGGCAAGCTAAAAGCAGGCAGTACTTGGTTCGGAACACCCCCCCATAGATATGCATTGTGCACAGTTTAAGGACAAATCTGATCGACAAAATCCAATTTCCAAACAAATATTGTGCTTCCACATGATACAACCTGACAAGCCACCTCTACATGTATGTCTGCAAACTTCCAATATAAAAATGAAAAACTCTTGCTCCACTAAAATAAGCTCCATGTTGAACTTTGCCTCATGGTATTGTTTGTTATGGGCAACAGAGACTCTTTCACAAGTTATCCAGTCTGGTCACAAGTTCAGTCACAAGGAATGCAGGAACAGTTGCCAGTATACAGGGTCCATGATGGCAAAACTTTTGTCAGTTCATCTGAATAGCTCCAGGCTTGATATGAAACTGGATAACTTGTGAATGCGATGGACTTAGAGTGACTTAAAAATGACCAAAGGTTGACTTGACTATAACACTAGTAGTGTTTATGGTCCTCCATTGCTATGCTGAACATCTTTGGCCATGGTGTAGTTTTTTGTAGTAGAAGGAAAAGCAGTAAGTACAGCATGACAAGCTCTTTGCCATTCAAATGGCAGAATCTATGGGTTAAGTGTCACAAAAGATAGCGTCATCTGAAAAGCTACAAGATGTCTTTGTTCAATTACTAAAGGCTTGAGAATGTATGATACATGTACTTGACATGAAGTGAAAATTGTATCTAAGCACATGCCAACACAGTGTACTGTGGCTAAACTTTAATGTTAGTGTTATTTATTAACAATTGTACATAATGAACAGTCAGTGAGTTGTTTGTCCCAGCTGCTCATCACGTAGATAAAATGTAAAAAAAAACTGTAATGAACGATATGCAATCTAACGTGTACTCATTCAAGTGTAGTTGTTATTTTTCTCTAAGTTTTATGTATATTTTTTACGCGCGTTTTCAACAAGCTTGTATAGATTTTTCGTATTTCTGCTGTTTCCTTGTTTAATTTTTTCCCCTGCAGTTCTGCATTTAGTTTACTCCAGATGGTGGAGATACAGGTTCTTCAAACCAAACTGAAGTAAATACTTTTTCTTTTTTTCATTTCCAGTATTAAAAGGCTGAAATATTCATTGCCGTCAGCTGTGGCGTTTCCCTCAGTGTTGCTTTTTTTGTTACAGTCTCTCTGTTTAGCAACCTGTCATTTGCAAGTTTTTATGATAAAGAGTTTTTACCTTGATACCCACTGGAGATGATCAGAAAGAGTCACATCCTAGTCATAGGCCTGAGCTTGGTGCTGAGAAAGGTATACAAATCCAGATGTAATGTCACTGTACATGAGACCACTTTCTTGCAATGCTGTTTTGATGAGCCACTGATTTTTGTAACTCAGTTGGAGTAAAGTCATTGGTGCGAGAGTGGCTTAAGTTGAGTTGCATTGTTACATGTAGGTCAAGAAACATAGTTAAGGTTCAGTTGAATCAGATGTATGCTTGTGTCACTAATACTTGAATATTATCCAATAAATTAACATCAGAGAGGTAGGGACTGGGCTTATATTTAGTAGTTATTTGTTTGTACTTCTTTACATTTCCATCCTGGCATTTACATGTAGTCAAACTACACTGAACACTTAAAAAGAGTTTTGAATTTACATTTAGCTGTGTTCGTCTTATCGAGCCACTTTTTCAAGTCCATTCAAGTCATTTTTTTCACAGTGCGCTGAGTTGTGTCATTTGCTCACAGTTAATACAAGTTGAGTCAAGCCCTTATTCTTGCATTGACTCAGTTGCCAAAATTTGTTGCTGGAGTGGGACTTAACTGTTGACTCAAGCCATTAGAAGTTTGCTCATAATTGCGGAAGGATTTTGCCAGCTGTTGATGGTTTTTCCAAGTAGGAACTAGCACAATGCTCTGCCACTTTTAGGGGCCTTTCTGAGGGTACGGTGGTCACGGGGCTGGATATGTCAGTGCTTTTTTGGCTTAAGCAGTTTATTGTCACTAAATTTTGAGAAAGAAGAAACTGTGACTCCTTTGTTCCTTGCCTTGGGTATCAAGGTGAAATGTGTTTCGTTTTTATTGTAAGAGGATCTTTCATTTCATCTCTCCTTATTTCTTCAGCATTTACACTACAAAAGGTGAATTATTTTGAGAGTAAGCCTTTTGCTTAAATAATCTGTTAAGTTTTTAGTGTATAATTCTGTAAAAGTAAAAGTTCAATCTAAGAGCTGACCCTTAAGGAAGTGTGTGGCCTTGCAGTTTTTTGCCTTGTTTAATAAGTGACTGTACTGATTGTTTCCATTTTGACAGCCACAAAATTAGTCTAATCAGTTGTAGAAATTGTCAACAGTAGTAGTCCTTTGACCCTTGGGTCATTTAGAACAGAGGTCTGACTTAGGGTGCGTGCCTTACAATCGCTGCTCATGTCATTTTTGTATCAGTTCATCATTTCGATATCTAGAAGATGGTCCAAATGTTACATACATGTAGGTCAATGATTCAGAAGCTACACTGTGTTCTTCTGTTGTGTCTTGACTGTGAATGTTTTTGGCCAGATTTGGGTTTCCCATTTTGGCGCCTTTCAAATTTAGGTTCTGATGTAAACGTGCGTGCCACTTTCTGTCTTTTGACCAGATGCAGAATTTGCCTCAGTACTTGGATTGGTGACACTAACATAAACAATACTAAAGCGGCTACATTATTTGAATTGATGTTAAGTAAAAATATCACCTAAGTGGCAAAGATTGTTTCTACTTTGCACATACCCACAAGTTAAACAAATGTTATTGTCCTAACCTCATCAGATTCATTAAAATTTGCCAGGCATTTCTGAGATTTTGTAGGATTCATAAGGAGGAAGCCTCTCAAGTGATACTTCACCTGGGAGTTGATGCTCCTTAAAACTTTAAGTGTAAAAGGATGAATAGTAAAAATTTGGTTTCCCTCTGAGTAGAGTGTCATTCTTCTTGATGAAAAGTCATGGTGGGAATACCTTGACAGTTGGGTTAATGCAAAAATAAATCATGGGCTGCCAATTCACTGAGTCATATCAACCAAGGTTCTAATAATGTAGCACGTAGGTTTTCAGCTGCATAAAAGTTCACTGAGCTTGCCAAAGATCTCCCAAACAAATTGATTAATATTATGACATTTTTCTCAAACTTCAAGTATTTAAACTACTTCTCTGAACTGTATTGTGATAAAAAGTTGAGGTTTACAAAGAAAATAACATAAATTTGTAGCTTTTTTTTAAATAAGAGAGCGAGTTGTACGATGCAGCCCTGTGTTAATCGTGTTTCTGTTTTCACTGAAGAACCGTGCCAAATTTTATATTTCCCAAACACACACTGTTCCTTGTAATGTGCACCTGTTTCAAACTCAGTGATTTAACAGCGGCAGAGTTGAGCTGTAAATGAGTCATGCTGCACATTCACATCACCGTGCCAAAGCTGCCTTCACGTATAAAAATATGTAAGGGAAATGAGCAATGCCTCAGATTTACCAGAAAAGAAGACATTTTCGTGCTGTCTATAGAAAGGCCATACCATGGTGTCGTTTCCCGTAGCTCTTTTTATTCATTTAATAGATTTTGCAATCCTTTTAAACATGCACCAAAACTAAGCAACACTGATGAATTGATTGTCCATAAAATGAATTCTTAAGTGTGTAAGCCCTCTATCTTTCTGTAAAATACTGCCTTTTAATCACTCTTCTCAACTATCCTTTTTCTTTTAATAGAATTTGACTTATTTTATGTATGATGCTGTACATTTTTAAATATACTGAAAATATCTATAGTATTTAAACTAATATCTCACTAGTAAATTATTAGATGCTAGAATAGCTGGGCAAGGCATTTTTCTATTTCAAAGAAACACCAATTTATATTCAATTTGTTATTGAATAACTGTAACTATTTTGAAGTTGTACATATATTATTTTGGTTTCCTAAGTGTACATCGTTTGTGCCCTCTTTTGTGGACTTGCATATTTGAACTGAATTTGATGTTGCTCAGTACCTAGGTTATTGTATTTTTTGATCTGTACATGTATTAGTAATGTAGCACACAAATGCGGATGCATTTTGTACTGTTTTGTGACAAAATATCAGTGATAAGGAATAAATGAACTCACACCAGTGGCCGACAGTGTAACTAGTGTGACGTGATAGTGTGGTTCACTGAATGAGTCTCATTTGGTAGCTTGGCTACTAGATAATGAAAACTAGGCTTTGTAGTAGGGGAGAGATATGTGCAAATGGCTCTTTTTTTCATTATGGACAATAGTTGTTGTCGTCTGCCGATATTGTCATTGGTCGCATTTCCTTTGTTGTGTACAACTGGTTCACTTTTTTCCGCTAAAAACTTTACGCAATTGTATTTAGAAAATTCCAGCAATTGTGATGTACGTTGCGGAGCTCTCCTCTGTGTTCCCAAACCAAATCAGGCTAATCCTGCCAAGCCTCCGGTGTAGCTTTTATTTGTTGTTAGCCTTCCAACGCCCATCAATACTAAGAAGACCATCAAACAGCTTTAAAGGAAAGGCATTCCTGCAAAACAAAGTGCACTTCGCCAGACATGTCTGGCGTTCGAGATGTTTCAAAAGGAAGAATTTCTAGAGCAAAGTGCGTTTTTTGAGGCGAAAAAGCTGATTCGCAGAAATTGGCCAATCAGAAGTCTCAATTCTGGATCACAGGTGTACTCAGCGCGCGCAATACAAAAAGAAATCGAATTAACAGTTTGTTGTTTTTTTATCGTCTGCTGGGCTTCAGACTAGACTAAACTAGACCGAGCATATGAACGAGTGTGGACGTCTATTTTGAAAGGAAAGTCGTTATAATCAAGATTTTTCCTTGAGGATGAGTCAGCAATGTACTTGGAGCTCAACATTTTCGAACTTAGCATGTTATAAGGGATTTTTTCCGAGCTACGTGGACGATCAGCTCGATTTCTCTGCTGACTTTTCAACGGGGGAGATGAGTGATCGTTTTGCGGATTTAGCTGAAGCACCAAGTGATCAAGGGACAGTTGAAAGTTCTCTTGCTCAGCACGCAGGAAAGCAATCGAGGTAAATCAAAGGTGTATGCAAATAATGTACGCAAATATGTGGAGGTGGTACATTTCAGAAAAAAAATCAACTTCTGCAAAGAGTGAACAAATTTTGTAATCAAGGACACCCGAAGCTTCACACTATTCAGCAACAGATAGCATTATAACTGCATTGAAGTTTTAACTCTATCAATTATTATCAGTGATATTTGGAAGATAACACAAAAACATCATTCTGAAAAGACTGAACTGTTATCAATAAAAAACATGCAGTCAATGTGCCAGCCGAGATCGTCTTGCCACCAGCCGATATTAGAGAGATGCTACCATGCTTATGCATTAATTTTGTCAGTTTTCTGTGGTTGTCAGGTTTCTGCATCAATTCAATAGTAGGCCTAGTTAAAGGGTTACGCACAAGAATGCTTGAGCCATCCTGAACAAATGGTTACTTCCTATTCAAGATTAGGACATTGTCCAGTACCTTAAGTACAATGTACATGCGTTGGTGTGTTAGATTTTAGTCGGTTTTGTGTCAGCATTCTGAAGTTTAATAAGTTGAAACGTACTTCACCATCATTAAGCCATTGTTGGACTGATCCAATTTCTACCACTCCATAGAAAAATTGGCCCAGAATTAACGGAAGGGCCTGGCAGCAGCAGCAGCGGCAGTGTGTCCTCGGGTGGGGGAGGTAACGCTCGTAACACGGGGACAAGACGGCGTATGCTACGCAAGGCGAACACTCCCCGGCGAAGCGCCCGGAGGAACGACCCTCGGTTCAGGGGAGTGACGTTCTGTGTGGAGACCCAAATCTGCCAACAAAATAGGCAGAGGTTCCAGCTCCTCATTCGTTCCTTCTATAGGTTGGTCCCCATTAATAGTAATTGAAAAAGGCAGATACTGCATTCTGTAGAAAAAAAATTGTTCAGTTACTGCAGTTGGACATGGGATGCAAAGCTAACAATAATTATATCAATTACAGTGTCATGTACTTCAGAAGATACAAGCTCAGCACATGATATTACTGTTGCGTCTGTCATTGCTTTTTTTAGTCATATATTTATGTGCAAGTTGAGCAGTAGGAAGTTTCCTTCCTCACTGTTAAGAGAAATGTAGGCCTATAGTGTTGTCTGACTTCTTGTAACTAAATAACAAAAACAAGCACATTTGATGAGATGAAAATATCAAGTGACATGACAGTTAAGAAAGGAGAAAACTGCCTCACAGAGTCACCATTATTGGTCTTTCTGAAGCATGAAGAAAAGACATTCAAATGATAGTGAGCGGGGACAGGCAAAGATGAAAAGGCAAAAGATGTCCCTGGTGGCGTCCACCTCATCCAGTGGCTCTGATGAGGCTGAGGCCGTGGTGCCCCAGACGGTAGCACAACACATCGCAGTTCCCTGCGCGGGCATTGCGCACGGTGAGAGGGGTTGTAGATAATGCATGCCTTGACTCAGTGGATTTTTCCTTAAGAAAAAGTAGGGTTTTCTAACCATTTGAACCAAAAGGAAATTTAAACGGTCAATTTTTGTTTACTGTGGCATGACACCATAACTGAATGCTTTGATTACAGTATTTAATTTTGGAAATTAATGTAAATGCCAAAGTCACGCTGGAAAAAAATTATTCAGACTAATTCTGTTTCAATCTGCACGCTGTTGGATCAGACCTTCAATTTTTTAAATGAAAAGGTAAAGTTGTCACTTAGTCTTAAGAATGAGCTTTCTTGCAATTTGGACTTTTTCTGATGATTGATCATAAGAAGTCACAGAAGTCACAAGAAGTCAGCTTTGATTCTTATCCAAATACAAACTCAACACTTTGTATTCACGACATAATTTATACTTAGTTCAACATGAAATTATCCTGGTGAGATTTGAGTTAATGACTGGCTGCCAGTACACTTTTCTGCATGATTTCATTAAATCAAAGAGGGTGATAACAGCCAGAGGGTGTTACTTGCTGATATAACACAGACAATAACACTTTTTGTCTCCTTCTCTTGAATAGAAACATCATAATTATGTCATTTAACAGGTTTTGACAGATAGGACAGCTTTGAGCAGAATTGACTTAATGTAATTCTGATTAAAGCAGCACATGGTCAGTTACCAAATGCAGCCCTTGGACTTTTTATTTTCCTGGTTGAATTCTTTTCATTAACCTATCTTTTGCACAATTTTAAATACACCATTGCCCCCCCCCCAGGAGGGAAGCAGTGTGCATCCTGCTTGACTCGACACACCCCCTTATGGCGAGACGCTGAGGATGGAACCCCACTCTGTAATGCGTGTGGCATAAGGTAGGCGTTGGGCTAATAATTCGAGGGGGAAATGAACTCAGGAAAAAAGTTTTGTTGAATTTTCAACACTTCCCCTGCATACTTTCCTGCCAGATTTTTTCAGGCAATGTACTTGACCATGCTTGTGCCTTTTTCTGGAAACTCATTTCTTAGTTAAATAGACCAAAATGATCAAAGGTTTCAGGCAGTGAAGTTTTCTTAGATACCTTTTTTGTTTCAATTTTGTGTCAGAAAACAATGTGATATTATTTTCGGGCTTAATCAGTGTATTGAAAAATGCACTTTTCAAAATATTCAAAATTATCCATGCTTTCCTGGACAACAGAGGGCGCCATTGCTGTGATGCCAATCAGGGTAGAATTCTCAGCTAAAATGCTTTTCAGTTCAAATTGTAAACTGCAAATTTGCACATTGAAAACTCATCTGAGAAGGCCTGGGGTTGCTTGTTGGCTTTACCATGGAGGCAAAAGTGTGCATTTTCAACAGTTATAAAAACAATACATAGACCCATTATCCCCCTTACCTCTTGCCAAGATTTTGCGAGAAATATATGCATCCTATGTCATGACTTGAGAAAAGGGTATAAGGTTTGATTCTGGGGTGATGCCCCTCCCATCCCGGGTCCAAACTTTCTCCCCAAACATATTTTTCCCCGAACTGACATTACTCCTCCAAACTATCATCTAAACAAGTCCATCCACCTAATTCAACCCCACTCTACACCACCAGAAGTGACTAAAAAATGCCAATCTTTGCCTGACGTTAAAACCTCATCATTCATTTTGGAAACAAAATATCCCTTTGAGCAACTGAAGGTAGCAATGCCAGCAGGATACGCCAATTCACTCACCTTTTCTCTTGACTTTTGACAACCAACTAAATTCACCAATGAATTACGTAATAATATCCTCTCAAGGCTTAAGAGTCACTCCTCAAGGAAAAGAACCTTTTCTCCGATTATTGCAGGTACAAGAAGTATCGCATCCGCTGCACTGCCTGCTGGAACATTCCTAAGAAGGATGGCAAGTCATCCTGCCGAGTGTGCTCGCGATGCGGCAACACCCTGAGGTTTACCATTCCCAAGCGCACCTACCTATTCTAATCAGCTATGCAAAGGGCAAATCATTTCTCTATTACAGTTCCTGCAAAAAGCACAAAACTGCCTTACAAACTAGACCTCACATCGATTGCACAGGTATCACTAAGTATTCAGTGAGCATTTAGGATATGACAAATTTGAGAGAAAAAATTTAAGGTACTCATCTACAAAATATTGGATCTTAAAACTGTTCTTATTATGAATAAGTGGCTTGTACATAGACCAATGTTGGGAGTGATTTTCTTCAACTCTCTTCTTTCTTTGTGATTGGTTTGAAGTGAGTTTACAGTGTGGAAACAATTATTTTAATTGTATGATTTATTTTATATTGAAATTTGAATTTGCTTTCACTTTTTATTTTTGAAAATGCACGAGCAGTTAGTGGACTGAATTTTAAAACTTGTTTAGTCTGAGTAGAAAAGTGCAAACTATTTATTTAAAGTCTTTTACAACACAAGGATTAAACTGCGTTAATGGGTAATGCAACTATTAAGATCTATTTCTTGGCAAAGTTTGACATGCAAGTGTAAACCAGGCACAGATGTTTATTTTATCTATTACTTGTTACATTATGTACAACAGTGATCTTTCAGTTTGTAAAATGTCCAAAAATGGAAATAGTTTTAGGTGTTAGGCTAAAACCTTTTTTTCCCACAACAGTGAAAGCTGGAACTATTGAATTGGCATCTGAAACCATATTTACAGTGGTGTAGCTATGCCTCCCCTTGCTGCCTTCCATTTAAAATTTTGCAATGATCACAGCCTGTGTACAATTAAGTCAATGGCTTCATTTAGATTCATTTCTCACTTCAACATATGAGTGCACCCCCCAGGTGCCCCTCGGAAATTCCACCCTAGTTGTTACACCACTGTATGTTTAGATAACTGGCAAAGTGCAATTTGATAATTTTGTGTTTGGAAAATTCATGAATCCACTGACTTATTTTCAATAAGTATATGCACTGATATCACTTCATGGTTTATGCATTGTTTGTAGCAGGAATTATCAGTTGAAATGAACAAGAAATCTAGGAATATATGTAGGCTATGTGGGACTGCAACCAGTTAATTTGTGGTGACCGTCTTAACACTGGGTACCAACTTGGCATGTAAGAATTTTGTAGATTTCTCATGTAATTTTTTCTTTTTTCAAATGCAGTCATATAACTGTTCAGGATCCCCGAGGATTACTTAGTCAAATGAACTTCCAGAAACAAACTGGCAGGTGACAGTATGTTAGAATATGAAAATATTTTATATAAATAGGGCAAAATAAACAAATGTACTATTCACACGAAAGTTCTATTCATGAAATATCTTAGTGATATTTTATTCTTAAAATGATACAAGTATATCACCTTTCATTTTTTGGAATAATTTGATGTAAGTTGTCATACAATTCAAATGCCCAAAGATATATGTGCACTCCTTGATATATGTGCCAAGTTTTCAACAAATGTAAAATACTTGGTATTTAACTGTTGCGATAACAGTCAATAAATATATTGTTGCAATCAACTTTTCCGAGGCTTACACTGCTTATTTTTATACCTTAAATAGTGCTGGGATTCCCTGATGTCTTTACAATCCCTTATCCATCAAATACCATCACATCCATCTGGCATATTGGTTTAAATGCTAGAATTGTTAATGCAGTGTAATGTAATGAGGAACTTTCTGACACACCGTTGTCTTCATATCAATTTATTACAACTGTCAACAATCTTTCCTGCGTTCTATATCTGTATGATGAAAGTAGTCATCAGACTGGAGTGTGGTGTTGCTACTCACAACAGCCAATGAACCTGCCTTTGTTTTAAGTCACTGACATCAGTTCCTGAGTTAAACCAACATGAGGGTTTCATTTTTTCCTTCCTTTCTTCTTGCTTTTACTGCTATTTTTTTCACTGTCGTCTACAGTTCCATCAGTGCTCGGTACATGTAGTGCATGACCAGAAGATTTGATGTGGTTAAACAGCTTGTTTCTGGTTGGGAACTCGTTCCGACAGACATTACACAACAGAGGTGCATCACTTGCTGATGAGACCTGTAATGAAACAAATAGCGACACCTTATTTATTTACAACATACACCTTTGAAGTTTTAAAACTGAAAAAATGAACTTGATGTATTAGCAAAGAAATTTCTTCTCATCACTCAAAACACTGATTCAACTTTTAAGATAGCAAGAGGTCTCAACATTGGGTTCTTTGCTATTCACAGACAAAACTGAATGAACACAAAGTGCTGTCTGAGAGCTTTCAAAAAGCAATTCAGGAGCTTGGGTGAGTACAATCCATGATGGTACAGTGCTCACTGAATGGGACTAGTTAAAGTCTTCCATCTGGCTCATGGGAGGCATGGCCCTTCTGGGCTTGCCTCAATCGCCTTCGCACAGCAACTGGCCACTGCAAGGTCCTCATGGACAAATGGGACTAATAAACAACTACATGTGACTGTGGCGATGAGCAGACGATGACCCACCTGCTGGTATGACCCCAGCTCCCCCAACCTTGTTCTCCTTCATACCTGTTCACCTTGATTTTCTGATTTTTATTTTAGCAAACTGTTGATTTCATCCCCTTTCATCTCTCTTTTTTCATTTCTTTCACTTTTCCAATCTTTCATCTTGAATTTTTTTTTCTGAGGGGAAGGAGGAAATGCCTCCCTGCCACCCTTACAACACTTATGACTCAGCAGCTCTGCCACATTACAACTTATATTGGATAGTACCCTCCTCATTGTCTAGTGGCAGTCCTTACCCTTTGCTGCTCCTCGCTTGCTGCCTTTTCCCTTGCAGCCCTCCTCGCTTCCTTGGCTTTCTTCCCCTTCAGTTTCACAGCTGGCTTCTCTGTCTCCTCAGCATCTTCCATGATGCCGTTCAGTCTCTCGCAGGGATCCCCCTCTCCTGCCCCCTTGTCAACTGCTCTTCGCGTTTCCCCATTCTCATCCCTCGTTTTGTCTGATTCTACTTCAGCTTGTGGACTTCCACTTGGGGGTGTCATCTTGAGGCGGTCAGCGATGTGGGAGGGCAAATCTTCAAGAATGTTGTTATGGAAGGCGTAATGGATTGGCTCTGACCATTGACTTACTCGCTGCTGTTTTCTTTTTTTCTTCTGCTTCTTTGATAACCTTTGAAGGGAAAAATCAATGACACCAAGTTACGAGTATATTACAAAGTAACATGAAAAATATGCACATCAACTTTTAAAAATTCAGATTTCATTCACTGCAAGACCAACAAAACTACATCGAATTTACACCTCCCAATAATTTAGGGGAATGAGAGATAACCTAACTAATTTTAAAGGCAAAATTATTTTGTTAAAAAAGTTACATTTTTCTTGTGTTGTAAGCTTGGTGTTTTACAGAAGAAAGGAAGTGATAAAAAACTTCCTGGTACAAAATGAGGGTTGGGTAATCATCCCAACTCACTTGTTTTTCTCTAGCTCGGTAGGCTCCTTTGCCCCATCAGCTTCCTCATTATCACTGTCCTGATTTAAACCTTCATGATCTGCATCATCCACAGCTCCATCCTCCTGGGAGCTGTGCTCCTGCTTCCCGTCCATCATCTCCCCTTCCTCATCCTCCATCTGCTCCTTCAGGAAGGCCACGTTATCCCTGTGCTTCTTGGAGTTCTGATGATTGGAGAATCTGTGTTGGAGCAAATGTGCAACCAAATGAAATGACACTTTTGCAAAGGAAACTTCCATCAAAGAGTCATCAGTTTTCAAAAGCCGCAAGTAAGAAAACATGCACAGGGCACACACCCTGTGATTTCGGTGCAACTGTTAGGCATTAAAACCAGGACAATCATTCTTGTTGATCTCTGAAAAAGGAAGTTGTACAAAAACTCCTAGTGTTGCAATAGTAGAGTCTTGACTAGATTTGGTTAGCTCTCACCAGAAAGGGTATTACTTATGTCCTTAGGCGAGATGTGTTGCTGCAACTTGTTTCTTCTGAGTAAGAGTGAATGGGTGTTCTTGTGGACTTTGAGAGAGTTGATTGTCATAGTTTACTCTCACAGTGTACAAAACAACAGAAAGAAATCTCAATGTGCTCTACAATAAGGCACGAAGCATTTAAAACACATTTACAAAGTGTGAAAATAAGCTGGGGTAAACTTGAAAATATTTGACAATTTGTACCAGTCCAAGGTGCATACTGACTTGTGAGATCTTAGAAAGACGAAGTTGCTCATCATAAGGCACCAAGACCATTCAAGGTGAGGGTTAAAAGAGGAAGAGACAGAAAAAAGGGAAAAATGCAAAAGGAAAATCTTATTTACGCTTTTTCACTCTTGAAGTCTTTGTTGCATGCTATACAAAAAAGATCATCCAAAACGTCTTCTTCCTGGCAGTTCTCTACGGAATCTGCCAAACAGGAAAAAATAACAAAATCATTACTGAGGTGTGGCATGCCTTACCTAAGGTCAGTGAACGACAAACTGACAATCTACCAAGAGAATTATTCATGATCTTTACTGCCAGTGAAACAACACAAAAACAAAAGTCCTGTCTGCTACAAGTACCAAGGGTGTCCTCCTTCCAAGTGACTTTATTAAGGCTAGTATGAATTCAAACTGAACATGACTCAACAAAACATATTTATTATGAAACTCGCTGAAGCAGGGATGCGTTCAAGTTTTACAGAGTCCCACATTCGCGTTAGGTTTTATGGCAAGAATTGAACAGCTACTGACCCTACTAACACTATGCAGAAAAGTTTAAGGGAACCCAGCCTAGTGTAAAGTCATACTTGTTGGGCTCTAACTTCTTCCAGCCTACAAAATATCCTCCAAAGGATTTAGGAGGCAAGACTTACGGCTTCCACTGCTGCCTGAGTCATCTCCAAACTCCTCCTGAAGGGCCGCCTCCACCTCCCTCAGAGATGCCTCCATCTCGGCACGGACTTCTGCTCCTTGCTTGGCGTACTCTTGGAATTGCCTGGGGGACATTGATGAGGTAGATTGCTTTCTGGCTTATTTCTTACAGTAAAGACCCTGATCATACCATTAAAAAGGAGCCCAAACAACACATAAACTGTCGGTCTGATGTACATGTAGCCAGAAAATCTGAGAAATGGGAAATGCATTTACCAATCTTGGAGGTGGAGGCATGTACGTCACAAATCGTACTATGTCTTTATCAAAACATCTGCAGCTTATGGTTATCCTAAAAACGCCGCACATTTCAAATGCCAGCAGCATTGTATCAATGCTACAAGCTTGTACATCTCCAACAATATGAGCAAGCAATTAATGGCGCAAGGTGGAGGTAGGCACGTCAGTCAAAATACCCACTTCTCTCTTTCTATCCTTTCTTGTTTCCTCTTCTCTGCATCTAGCCGTGCTCGCTCAGCATTCTTTTCCTCCAACCGTTTCTGTAACAATGAATAAAATACCAAACTGACAGGACTAACGATGTAATCTCCATAATCTCCATACCTGAAGTTGGTTATGCGGGCTGCTAGCATACTGTATAGAGGGATTTCACATTAGTGCCGCCTGCGCGTATCCACATCAAAACTAAGGCTCTCTGTACCGAACTTTGTTGCACGTGCCCACAGACTCGACACAGTACATGCACCACACATGCAGATACACGATCATCACAGGTACGTTAGTTCGTGGTAAACTGCCGTTATGTTTTCTTCTGGTATTACGAATCTTATGTTCTGGCTGCATACAAATAGCTCAAAATTAATGCAGCCACAATCAGGATACTACTGTGAAATTTTGCTCATTTTGATCTTCGAATTTTTTGTCAAACGGCGGGCAATGCATGTGACTATCTGCAAGCCGTTTTCCAATTTCAGAAGAAATTTCGTAACAACAAATTGTTCACAAAGGTTCAGTTGCATGTATCATGAAAAAAAAAAGGATTGGCAACTAGTCTGAGAAAAGTCAAAGTTAAGGTTTTGCACATTTCCTCGGGCCGGGGAGTAACATTATACATTCCTTTATGCATTTTGTATCTTAATGCCTTACTTTCAATTGTTTGATCATAATTTGATATGACTAAGAATTGTGAGCAGTGGGCACAGCATTACATTGTACTTGGCAATGCATATGCATCATGTATATCTTGCCGTTCCGTTGTCACTGTGCGCGTGAAGCTGACACATGCAGCCTCGTTTTCAAAAGCGGAAGTGCGCAGATCGATGCTTAACACGTCATATTGGGATCCCTCTATATTAATCTTTATTTTGGCCTCTCAAAGTAAAGAATAGTTACAAGTAAGTCCTTACTCTGTAAGGATGACTTCTCACAGGAGGGATAAATCACACACTGAATCAAAAGATAACTGCATTACATGATTCAGAGCAGAAAACACAGAGCGATCAAAATGAATCGAGCACTTACCCTGTAGGCTTGGACCCTTTTGTCTCTTTTACGAACAAATGACACCAGTGCCTGAAAACAGAAAAACAAATTCTGTTTGAAATGTTTTTCATCTCTTGTATTTGGGTTTAAGGAAATACATTGGACCAGTTGTGTGCAGAACAATTCAAAAAGTTTGATTTTATAAGATGTGTTTTTTTCAAGGGTCAATATATTCCAAGTTATCTGCCTTGAGCAGAAGCACCCCCTCACCAGTTGAAAGGAGCCATGTTGGTGGGGAATGTTCATTTTGTTGGTAGCAATGCGACTGCAATGCTTGTATTATATATTCATTTGTGAACCATGGTCCACTGAAGGAGCCTCAGTTGCTGGGAAAAAGCGCCCTCTCTTGGTTCCGCTCAGGTCGGATAGTGCCCTTGGAATACCTAGCATTGGAACAGCACGACTTTATGATTCTAAGAGACAGTGCAGATCGTAGTCCTCCTCAAATATTTGGAGACATTTCCCTCTCATCTGAGCCAATCTTACTTATGCACAGATCTTTTAACAACTTGCCAACAGCATTATTTTGTGGCAAAATTTTGACTTTGTAAAAATGCTACAAACACTGATTCCCAAGAGCCAATGGATGAGTATCTTTATGATATTTCTTTTAATACTGCAATGTCATATTTTTCAACACTACAGGTTGTACCCATGGAGCAATGTTTGTTACCACAACAGCCCGTGCACAGTGTGTGCAAAACAAATGGAAGGTTAGCATGTTTAAAGTAACGTCAGTTGGAGGTGATTGGAGGCATCCAACACACTTACCCTGACTTCCTCATTCCACTCCTTCTTGGCAACATCCCTCAACTTCTTGTTCTCCTTCTCCATCAGACGGGCCACCCTTCGATTGGGTGCCTCCCTGGTGTCATATGTCTCCTTCCACACAAAGGACCGAGACGTGCTATAGCTCTGCCAGTAAGCGTAGAAGGGGTGCACAACTTGCTCGTAGGGGCTATCCGAGGTGCCAAACTGCGGGATCTCAAACTCCTCGCCCTTATCACCTGTCATAAACTGCAAATCCTCTGCGGCTACTTTGCAGAATGCCTCATTGTACACTGTGTAGAAACCCTAAAAATGAAGCAAAAGTTTGGAGGTAAGTAGCTACATCCAAAGTACCATTTCAACATCTCCTCGCATTTATGAACAAACTCAATTTCAATCCATTAGGACAACGGCTTAGTTCCAGGATAACTAATATATGATCACGCTGGCTTAAATGACACACTGTCGGTAAGATGATTTTCCGCAAACAGAATAGCCAATAATACACCACTCTCATTTTGCCTACAACTTGTACAGGCAGCCAAGGTTTGCAGAAATATCTTTTCTTGGTTGGTTATCGATTTTACTGCAAATTTATTCAAAATTTTACTTACTACACGTTCCGCTGGCAAGAACATAAAAAAGAGGTACATACAGAGGTACATATTGGTACATCTAATATCAATATTAACATCCATAAAAGTGCAAAAATACAAAGCAACATGCTAAAAGAAAGAGGAGAACAATCTCGACTGAAGTAATTGAAAATTTGTCTCATTGCTTTTGAAATAGGGTCGTATTTTCTTCAATATTTAGTAGTATGTGTATTATTATCTTGTGTTCTGATAGCTGCGTAGGAGTTTTAACACTTTTCATATGATTCTTTTTCTTTTGTACTGAAGGTCAATCATAGTAGTAGCAGCCACTTGTAGGAAAACCACGACTGTGACGTCAAAAGAGCAGGCCCTATACTGTAATGAAGAAATCATTTCATTGCTACTACCCCAGCCAAAGCGTAGGAAATCAGAATAATGGTGAAAAGGTGACTTTTGGGGAAAAGAGCAAGCTCGAGGAAACTGGGTTAAAAGCAATTCTGCTACTGCAACAAGATACAAAATGTCAAAGAGTGACTGGATGCAGACAAACCTTGGCGTCGTCTCCAAAACCTGAGTAAGCGGAGGCCGTGAAGTACTGCATAAGATTGACGGAGCCTCCTTCATAATCATCCCCATAGCCTGTTGATATTTTTCAGAAAAGGTCACAAACAGAATCAGACAATTTGTAAACTACTAGAAGCAAGTTTAGCATTATTCTTCAGAGGAATAACGTTACAAACTGCTTTCCAAATGCGGTGACCTGAAAACCACTGATTCTTAACAGAACCTTCCTCAAAGACTAAAAAAATCCACTGCTTAATCCAAGGGTCTAATTATAACGAGTTTGCAAACCACAATCTTTGACTATAAGTATGTTTATACAAATAGCATACATGTACATGTATACTGTCAATGGCTGGACCCGAATCAGTTTGAAACCAACATCTGTTTGAAGAAAGAAATACAACAGGATTCAAATTTCCTTGTTGAACCAAATGCTGAGTAAAATTGAACACAACCAGTTTCCAGTTGTGGTTTATTTGATGATTTAAGCCACAATAATATGGGCAACTCACAATAACGCGCCTCCAAGAGTTTGCAACGCGTTGGCCAGTCGCATTGCGCAAAATCTGTTGACCCTTTCCAAATGTGCAAAGGGTTGACAGATTTCGCGCATTGTGATTTTCGTTAAAGTGATTAAAATGCCGCACATCCCTAATCAAATCCTTACACCCTTTCATCCAAAAGTAGCACCAATTACACCCTGCTGTTACCTTTCAATATGGCTTCCCTGTGCTTATCATACCACGCCCTCTCTTGGGGGTCAGTCAGTACGTCGTAGGCCTTCTGGATGACAGCAAACTTCTCTGTGCACTCGGTGATATTGTCAGGGTTCTTGTCTGCAAGGAGGGTTTGAGAGGTGAAATCATTCACAGGCAATTTATTTAGAAATACATTCACAGAGTGGTGTATGAAATCATTTACTTGATCTTCTGTCCACAACCTGGGACACTGGTGTAGGATTACTTCAGGGGACAATTTTCATGGTAAGAGCAGTCACTGTGACTGGTCCTTGAACTGATTATTTTAAATTAAGTTAAATTAATGTACTGCATAAACTTTTAATCATTGCGCAGGTTGTTCATTTGCACTCCAATTCATTTTATATCGACTGTAACATATCAAAACCAAGAAAGTTATCACAAGTCCCGCCGACACATTTCCAGTAAAAGCCAAATTGAGTTAGCTCAATGCACAGTTTTGGCCTCTTATTTTATTTGTGCAGAGTCAGGATTTCTGCCAGACTTTGCAAATATTCACGATTAGTCTACAAATGGCAACCGACCCTTACCCGGGTGCCATTTCAGGGCAAGCCTCCGGTAGGCTTTCTTCAGCTCGGCATCGCCAGCATCCATCTCGACGCCCAGCACCTCATAGTGGCACCTCATCTGGCCAGGCATGGTGTCTAGAGTTCATGTAGATTTCTCTGGTACAACTTCTAAAGGGTATTTTGCTGGGAGAAAAGACAAATGGCTGCTCATCAGTCTTGCTTAAACCACTGCTGAGGACATTCTGTGTGACAAATTTCAATGTTAATAACAGTCGGCCTACTGCTTATTGGATTATGCAAACATAAAGAAAACAGACTCGCCCTTCTTCTAAAACTTGACGGCCTTCTAATTCTTGAGGTAGACTACTAGTGCCTCATGAAAGGCTGCAACCTTATTTCTTTGAAGTAATCAAACAGCAATAAATCAACACCTGGAAATTAAACTCTGTCAAAAAAAGTTTTGAAATGGATTTCTGAGTTGGTCCAGACGAAGCGAAACACAGCCAAAAGAAATGGGGGTGAGGGACAAGGCTGGGAGAAAAGTTAAATAAGTTAAAATTACATATTGAGCGCAAGCCTGCTGGTACTAAAGTACTGGTAAACAGTGCTAAATGGACACTGCACGATTATGAAATCCCCATCATGCTTGATATGTCATGTCTTAATATTATTACAACAGGCAGATAGGTGATATGTAGACAGGGTCCTAGTTGGCCTAGGCCTACACAGACTAGCTGACTAGTGTCCACTGCATCTGTTGGGTACGATCAGATGATGTGCGCTATTGGCAATCACCTGTTTCAATGGAGGTAGGGCCTAGGCCGAGTTGTTCTTTTTCACGATTTGCCCATTCCACCTTCACTGCCATCAGCCAATTCGTTCATGAATCATTATTTTCTATTTCACGGTTATTTATGACAGTTTTGAAAGAGAGAAGCAAACAGGATCCATCATTGCTGTTGCAACCAGACTGCCAGCAAGGGCTTTGTTAGGGGCGTGCATCCTGAGCACTCCTCCTTGGCCTACTGTTAGTTTGGCCTACCCCAGAACTGTGGTATGGGGTCCAACGTCCACAACACGGACGTGGGAGCAGGGTGGACATTGGACCCTACAGTTCTGGCGGTAAGTTTGGTCTTATTCACCATTAAATTTCAAACGATTAACAGGTTAGGACTAGGCCTACTTGTTTAATACTGAATGTCAAACAAAGAATAAGCATGGAATAAGTAGTAACTAACTTCACAACTGCCACGTTAAGTGTACATGTATGATGTAGGCTATGGCATTAGCACAACGTTATACAAATCTAACATGAAGAACATGAAGAATAAACAATTTACGTTTAATGTACTGTTAATCTTGATCGGGTTTTTCAATATTACTCCTGATCTTCCTCCTAATCCTAACGCATTGATACAGGTGGAGATCGAGAGATCTGATATGTGATGTGACATATTACACGAATGTCGCTGGTTTCACAAGTCGTCTGCAATGTATGGTATCCTCTTCTCGCTGTTTTCCTGCTTAACTTCGATATGAGAATTGAGTCAATTCACAGAGCCACTTGAGGCTCCAGACTAATTGCGCCACATGGTAAATCCTTTTACCCAGAGCTAAACTGGCATTTCCTCAACAAAGCGTACAAAGTGATCTACATCGTACCTCAGAAAGAGGTTGACAGCCTTTCTTTCGGTGCTCTTCAATACTGGCAAACCGAATGTAAACGTTGTAGCAATTAATATCCACTTTACTTGATAAAGCTCGGGCAAAATAATTTATTTGACACATGTTTAAAAAGTACATTGATTAGGTTAATATCAGCCGTGTTAAGTTATGACTGTGTTTTTCAACCACCTGAAAAATGAGATTTTACTTTTGCATTCTTTTGCGTTGTCGCCAAATGCCGATAGAGGGCGTTAATTGTCGAACTTGGACATGTTGGGCATGGGCCACAGACATAAACGCAAAGACCGCCAGTTGTGCACGTATAACCGTGATCTTGAAAAGTATGGGTAAATAGTGGGCAAAGCGATGGATGGCAGCGTGTTCAGTGCACAATTACTTGCAACTCACTTAAGCCTACATTGCTCAAAATTGTTTATATAGCCTATGACTATGTGCTCCCAAAATATGATCACTTTTTTGCTCCTTGGTACTGCTAATGCTATCTGTTCTTTTCAAATGTTGCATCTGCATTGTTTTGAATCCCTATGGGCCAGATTAAGTAAATACAGGATATTTTTTACTATCACAAAATGACTTTATAGAATTTCGTCGCTGGAATTCTTCAACGGTGCGTGAATTCCCAATACCAAGGGATGCATCTGCCCATAGTTTGGATTACAGTTGGGCATCGTGCAGGTCACGAAAAGCCCCTGTAGTTTTGAATAGGATCTGGTGGTCTATGCATTTATATGTCTATGGCATGGGCAGAGATAAAGCAAAGATCGTATAGAGCTGCGTAGCAAGAGGGAGAACTTTACTGTGAACAGGCATAAAAGTTGCGTAATCGCATGGGTGCCATTTGGGTTGGACTACACAGGCACGCGCGTCTGGTGTGCCTGCACCAGCGCCTATTCACACTCGAATGGTGCCCATGGTGATAACACCTGTTTGGCAGAGTTCTCCATCTAGACTATCTTTGGCTAAAGTGTTTTCGAAACAACAGGCTTTGGCATCTGCAATTTAATGTGGGATTCAGTGTAAACAATAAAAGCCTAATTGTGCAACTATTTTGGGGTAGAGAGAAAAAGGGAAAGATGTTACTTTAATACCCCTTTTAAAATAAGTTTGGAACAGTGAAATCTTGGAAAATAACTGTCCAGTTGTGTTCAGAATTACAATATTCAATTTTAAGAATTTCATCAGAACATCTTCATGCAATACAGGGGAAGAAAGTTTACAGGTTTTCTGTTTGATGGTCTAGGCTCTGTCTTGACGGTAGGCCTTGTTGTGAGTCAAAATGTTCCCGGGTAGGCATACTTTCTGCCCAATTTTTCACTGGTTTATCTGAAATAAATCTGGACATTGTGACAGGTTGTGCTAGGCATTTATATTACTCTGCATTATCTGATCATATTAACTGGAAAGTTATTTTCAAAGACTTTGGTGTTCCTGACCAATTTTTGGGGTATTAACCCCAACCTTCCCCTACCACACAGAATTAAACAGTAGTAAAGGGTTTAATTCTGTGGAGATAGGTCTGGTAGGCCCAGACAGCTGGCTTTTGCATTGGTTTTGGCATACCTCAGAAAAATTAA